TTATTTTTGTTGCTTCTTTCTCGCTCCCCCCCCCCTTAATGTGATTTTACTCTTGTAGATTGTGATTTTGCTGTTGCACCTACATACGCATATACGTACATATGTATGTATTTACTTATGTATATGGCAATAGTTTCGTGCGTTTTATTATTTCATATGACTTTTTATTATTATTGTTTTTTTCTTAAGTTGATTGGACATGCCGCTGGCGCCGTGGCTAGAACCTCTATATTATATATAATACCATTCATGCGTAATTCTACAATATATACATTTCCATGTACATATATACATATTCGCATGAGTGTATTCCATTCAGTGAGATTTGTGCTTTAGGATGGATCATATGTGTTTTCCTGTTCTATCGTTTTTTTCAAAAAATAAATTTTTTCTCCTTCACTTCACATTGCCTTAACATGTTTTATAAAGAGGGGATTCCAAAATTCACTCTGATATGGGATCTAAATTTTTTTTATTTTTATTTGAAATAATCTCTGAATCGACATTGTCTGACGAGTAGATTATCATTAAAAGTTTGGTTTTTGAAGAGCTCACAGTTTTTAAAAATTTCGCTTTTAAATGTATATCAATGTAATTTTCAACGCTTACTAAATAACTTTATTTAAAAGGACATTTCCCTTATAAATACAAGAGTAATCATTATCTTTTAGTTTATAGTTGGCTCTAAAATTAGACGGCCCAAAAGCTGTTAAAAGATCTGTTCCCCATACTCTCAAGGATTATTTTTCCAGCATGAGATGTTTATACCCTGAATACCCTGTTCTACCACCCAGTAAGAAATATCGGACGTACCTGCCCGTCGCATGCTTATTTTTCGGAGTCTTCAATATCGGACAACTATAAGATTTAGCTGCCAATCAAAATGAAGTTTTTGTCTTTTTTTATTTGACAAAATATTTTTACGAAGTCTCCAAACAAATTGTTCAGATTAAACCTACATAAAATATATCTCTCATACAAACTGATCGATCAAAATCAAGATAAAGATCTTCATAAATGGTCTTTCTTTTCTTATTAAGTAACCTTATTTCGACTTGAATATTTTTTATATCAAATAACGTGGCTAGAAAGAACTAGCAAAACGGTTAACGTTGGATGCAATCCGTTGCCGGTTACATTATACGATTTTGGTCTACATATTGTTGCTATAAAAAATGCACATGTGAAGTATATTATAGCTTCGGTGCAGAAGAAGTTCTTTTTTTAATTCATTTACTGAAGAGCTTATTTCACATATACTCTTGAGGTCTCTGAGTTTTAACTAACCAGCCACTCTGAATTCTAGCATAACAATCGAGCTTATATCTATATATCTGTACAAGTATATTATTATAGCGAGTGTTCGTTTGGCGTCATTTATAAGAACATAGGTCTCTTACCTGAAGTACTTCACTTCGCATCTAGTGGACGTTTGTGAGTCGCTTCAAAAGTTCTGTTGCTCAATTAAGCTAAAAATTAAAAAACTGGTACAATTTTGTACCACCCTAATGCACATCAACACATACTTATTCTGCACATATTTAAATTTTTTATAATTTTTTGTGAATTTTACTGCGGGAATTTGAACTCGAGCGTTTTTATTATGAACACATGGTATCTACAAAACGATAGCGGAATTCGGCATGCCGTCAGCTAATGGACAGCGACAGCGCCTTTGTGGAAATGTTTGCAATAATATAATTACTTCAATTATGAATTATCTTCGTTTTTCAATTAAATGCATATTTTTTACGTTATCTTTTGATACACTGTCAACTTGATATGGTCTACCGACCGAACTAATTAAGTACCGCTATTGTTATTGTCTTCTTTTAAACACGTTCATAGTAAATTTAATGCCTGGCATTTCACCTTTTAGTCACTTACTGTGTCAGCTAGTTATCCATGCAAATTGCTGCATCCCACTGTACGAGTTATACCTTCTTATATGGAAGCACATAAATATTCAGCTTATCCACATATCCGCTATCGCCTTCTCCGTCGCCGAACTTTTTTTATGTTTATGTCATCAGTAGGCTTCTCATGTCCTATTCACCTTCTCTTTACGCTCATTCATATGAGGTTTCACGCTTTGTTTTTGGGTTACAAAAGCCCATTGCTCTTTGCTCCGTTCTCTAGGAATGACTGGCGTTTAGATATTTGGTCGATTGCTATCTGCTTGCTTCAGTTGTTATGTTTTAATGCAACGAGGTTGACATTCCGTCGTTCACGACGTCGCGCTTTTGTCCCATAAATTCCTAGCTGTAGTTTAGACATGACGTACGTAACTCTTTCTTGTCCGCACGCTGACATTTATATACCGTATCTACATATCTACATACATACATGTGTAGGTATGTCTAGTAGGTAGGTTTTCGGATTTCTTTTCGCGCTTTGTCGCTTCTTTGCTCTATTTTTGCGTATTGCAAAAATCACGTTTTCCTCATTTCAAGATTCAGCGTTGACGTACTATAGTTTGTACGTGTATGTATGTATATTTCAAGTGCATGCACAATTAGTATGTGCTGAAATGTGTCTCCTCAATAAGGTTGCTTTCGAATGTTCAAGTCTGTGGAGAAAGTTGAGGTTTCGAAATCAGTAGAGGAATGCTGATAAACCTAAAGGATTGTTCATGCATACAAGTACATTTAAGTGGGTGTCAGTAGAAGCGTTAGCCGATCTCAAATTCCTATAATACTAATGAACATCAACTAAACGTGCGGTATGGATAATTATAGCGATCTTTTAAGTGTTCCATATCATTTTTGTAGTACCATTTATCTTTTGCTTAAGAATAAACTTCACTGTCGGTTATTACATCTCCATTGCCGCAAAATTTTTGTCTTCGTCAGAAGCTGTTCTTTTGTACGATAACTGGGTTCAACGTCTTCGGTCCTCATATGGTCTTTACGCAATTTAGCAAACCACTTACGAATGACTGCTTCGCCTGCCACAGATATTTACTAATACTCATAATGGTACACAGCAGTAGTGATTGTATTGTTATCTATGACACCCCAGCATACATAATGGTCCGATCTCTACGACTAAAACATTTAGGGAGCGAATTTTTGGCATATCTGGAGACTTCTACACTCTCCGTTCCTTCGATCTCGATGTTCAATTCGACTCTCACGCCTTCAGTTGTTAGACAATATTATACCATTTGCTCTTCCGGTGCTCCTAAACGCCTTTAAGCCGTGGAGAGGCGGCCTAAGGCTTGTGTTTGGAGAACAAAACCATATTTCTTATTGGTTTTGTTTTATTTTGACTATATTAAATATACGTATGAACATATTACTTCCTGTTCAATAAAAATATAGGAAAATAGCTAAATTTCACCACAAACTCCAAAACAGCCTGAACACTAAAGCCTTTTAATTTCAAACTGTCAAACTAACGTCGAACCAAAATAAAATGCAACTCTTTTTATTTTGACAGCAAGTCATTGTCCTTCCTGTTTACCACAGTCAGCATTTGTTTTTGGCGCGATTACTCAAGCAGTCCACCATGGCGTGTTCCTCTGGCTTTGGTCAGTGCCTCTATGCGGAACATATATACATGTTGTTGTATTTGGTTATTTTCAAGTATTCCAACGAATTGCTAAAAAGTGAAATTCACTTTTTTCTTACACCTATGATAGACGCGTATGCCATTTGTTGCTCTTGCCCATTATTTTACCTATTTTCCTATTAAGATTTTATGTCCATTTCGTGGTTCGACAGCAGCACGTTTGTTGGTTTGCGTGCGTTTTTGTTATTCACAATTCTCGTTGTTCCTGTATTTTATATTGAAATTTCATTCAAGTTTTGTGTTTGCTGCCGCCGCTGCTTAGCTTCGCCGACTGCTACGCTCCGTTGAGCTAGAGTAAAGAGGAGGTGTACTCATTGTCTAGTTACGAATATTGTTAATCACATATTGATGTAATGGCAAGTGCCAGTCCACAGCTGTAGTGGCGATTCGTGCTCAATGATAGCTGCACGAAGCGTAATTTTTATACCCAACGCTATATGATGCTCAAGGGTTTGTATATAATCGTTTGCCAAAAGTTATGTGTGGCAGCCTTATTGAGCTGGAACGGAGGCACCTACTATTAGTAAGCTAAGCAGACAAAGTAGAACTGTAATAGTGGCAGAGGAGGTTGGTAAAGCAACTTACTGTGGCATCTAGCATCTGATCTCTGTTATAACAGTATTCCAAAGGCGAGGTTATATTCTCTTTCTACTACAAAATGCATTTCTTTACCTCATGTTTGGGCTGAAAACAATATCAAAACCGAAAAGTACGAAACAACTGACTGAAAGCAGAAATTTTATATATACCAAAAACACATATAAGAGGTTATGTTTACTTTTATCTTTTTTTCAAATTCGGAACAAAAATGCGAAAACGGAACCAGCCTACCTTTTCGCTTCCCCAAATCCTTAGAAATTTTCTATATGTAAACTTACAGTTAGACCCCACCGCTCATATCTCTCATTCGCATAAATAATCTCCCGAAATCGATCAAGCATCTTCCAAACTAAAGTACTGAGATTCGAACTACAAGTATGACTTTAGAGTAGAGAGGAAACAAACAAACGACTTAGTTCTTGTTTGATATTTTCGACGAATATCTACTTCAGTTTACCGGCTCAATCATTAGTAAAAGTTAAAAAACCATGTTAAATATACCGCTTATCTACCTCCAGAGATTACCTACCACCAACAAATTAACTTAACACCTGTATTATGTAAGGCAACTGGTGAATAATTGTCCATCTAATGCCCCGGCTAATATATCAGTCTTTTTTATTGCTTATAGACACTGAACTCAGTATGCTTAAAAACGCGCTAGTAGCCATACATAATACCATAAATGTGTAAAAGTCACTTTCTACTTGAGCAATTGATTTCTTCAATATGTCCAAATTTTGAGAGTGGGGAATCGAACAAACAACTAGCATACTTGAAATAGCGATATAATATATCATAAAAAAAAAATAAATCATAACAATAAATCAGAGAAAGTAAAATAATCAATAAACACTATTGCTGATATCAAAGTTATTTTATGAACTTAAATTAAATATTATTGTATAATCTTATCTTTTAATATCTGACATGCAAGACTTTAGACTTCGGTTTCGCTTTAATTAAGTATTCCCTATATTTCGCTACTATTTGTGTTGTTATTTCTGTAGTTGATGCTATTTTATTTATGTTTTGTTTATATGGGCGCGCACAATACTTTTGTTGATATTTATTTCTATTCGGCATAGAGAGCTGCTGCGCCGCTCTTGTCGATGACCACTGGCTGCTGAGCAGAACCAGCAGAAAGCTAGCGCAGCTGTTGACAAAAGCAAAGTGGCGCACCAGCGCTGATTGACCGCCTGACTGCTCACGTAAGGCATGTTGGCTGCCTAGCAGGTTCACTGTTGACTGACTGCCGAGCTGTTGGCCTTTTGTTGGCTCTCGTGTGTTTGTTGTGTTTGGCTCTCGCCACGTTATTTGTAGTCAACATATAGTATTTGGCATATCCGTCTTCGTCTCTTGATTGTGGGATGGTTCACAGCCGCCAGCCGTGGTTTTCATAGCTCAGTGCGCTTCCTAACTTGAAGGTAACACACCGTCAAGCACGCGCAACGCGGCACCGCACTACAATATCAACTCACGGTACGGAACGTACGACGCCGACGAGTGCTCGTATTTATTTGCAAAGTTACACGTATGCATATATTTGCAGTATCTGATTGCCTTGTTATCTCATTGTCTCGTTGTCGCGCATTGTCTATTTGGTGTCGTGAACAAAAGCAGTGCATTGCAGCGCTTAAACAAAAGACCAACCAAAAATGGCAAGAACCTAAGTGAGCTGTGCGAAGTGTCTAGCAGAAAAATATTCTTGAAATATAATATAATATATGCAAAGACGAGTTGCAAAAGTTTTGTGATTTTTGTGAAGCTGTGCAAAGTGTTTGTCGTTCGAAAAAAGTGTGACCCCATATCAAAGCAGCGCCTAACTAAGCGCTAGTAAACGCATCAAAGCAACACAGTTGCTGTCTGCTCGCCTTAGCCTCAATGATAACGTGTAGCTAATTACCTCAAATCTCATCAGCAGCGAACCACGACAACGACAGCAGCAGCGGTGTTGAAACAAAAGCAACGCCAGCAGGCAAAAAAAAAAACCAAAGCCCAGCCAAGCCAAGTCAGTCAGTCAGCCAACAAGTCCGTCACCCATCCAGCTGGCAGCATCAACCAGCGAGCGTGTTAACTTAATTATTTAACATTAGCTCAAAGCAATTTAGCGCAGCATCAGCGTTGCAGTGTTGGCCGCGACTACAACAGCGACAGCAGTCAGCCAGTCACAGGCATTTCACATCACCGTCGTGCCAATGCAACTTAACCATTTTCACAAATGGGCTACTCAACCTAAATTTTAACCAGACTTTCTTTACATACATACGCACATACTTACACACATACATACATACATACGTGTACATATCGCCTAATAAGTTTTGGGTTGTATTTGGTGCTGCTGGTACGACTTTGCCTAAGGCCTTCCAAAATTTTCGGTGCTTGTCAGCTTCCTGATATTTGTTATTTGTGTTTGTGCTTATAAACATATTTCATACACACACACACACATATCTAAACAAGCACTAATTACATCTTAGTGGCGGTAATCATTTATGGTTTATTACATCGTTGCTGCCGCCAACTATTTGTTATGCAATGCCGCACTTCGATGAGTCGTTCGTCAGCGATTGTTCATATGCCGAGAGCCAACATGTTATCTCATACTCATTGGATCGTGGCATGAAACTATACCAGCGGCGCAAATTGAAATCGCCGAAATTTTTTTATACACCCTATCGACCGCGTGTGGTCGTGAAAAATGTCATTCAATGTAAGTTCATGTGGAAGTGTTAACGATTCTCATTATGATTTGCTGCTCTTAACTAATGTCAATGCGTTTTAAATTGCAAAAAAGTGTATTAGAATGTATCAAGTATTTATTTTGACTTTTCGGGTATACTTAAGTAGAAGTAGTTGTGCTTGTTTAGCCGGTTTCACTTTTAAATTTGATGTCCAGAGACTTTTTTAAGTTTCACGACGAAGTGTATTTTTTGAAGATATAGATACATTGCACAGAGTACATATGTATATTAAGTTTGGCACGAAGTAAAGGAAACGTCGGTTACCCTATAAATGACCTGCGTGACATGCTGAGTCGATTTATCCATGTCCATCTGTCTGCCTGTATATACGCGAATTAGTCGTCAGTTTTTGAGATATAGAACTGAAATTTTGCACACGTCCGTTTTTTCTCCCCAAAAAAATTGCTGATTTGTCGAAACCGCTGATATCGGACTACTATTGGATTTAGCTGTCATACAAACTGATGGATCAAAATCAAGTCCATGTATGAAAAGCTCTTTTCTTTGACAGTATAGGAAATTTGGCATGGATTATTGTCTAAAGCAACGCTACAATTAAAACTGACTGATAAAAACCAAGATGAAGATCTTTTTATATCCTTTTATGCTATAAAAAATGCACCTGTTAAGGGTATTATAGCTAGTTTTTTCAATTATTAAAAAAACAAAAAAATTCACAGAGTTTAACACACTCAAATTATTCCTTAAACAACTTTTTCCCACAATGAGCGCGAGTCTCTAAAACTAAGGCTTTTAAGCTTTAATAACCTTGTCAAGCAATAAATACCATAATGTGGACACCTTATACCCTTTTATGAGACTTATTATAACTTATGAACTTTCATTATTTACACTACATAAGAGGGACTTTTAAAAATATTGGAATCGAAGACAAAAACTTGCTCTTTCAGCGGGTATCGTGAATTACCATATGTACAAGTTCTCTGAATCTATAACAACACACAGCGACATATCTAACTCACGCCACTGTTTTACTAATGTTTTTCGGTCTGAGATAAAGTTAGGTTAAGTGAACTTGTCAAATAAGACTGCAGGTAGTACATAAATGTATCCTTTATTTCCTATATGTTTACTAATAGAAGATTCTACGTTTTAAACGATTTCGAAGATTTTTTTCGTTTAATGAAGATTTTTTAGTCTAGTCTCTGAGTCTTTGTTGTTGCAGCCGCATAAAGCATGTTCCAAATAGTTTTGAGGAATGTTTCTGCAGTGACAGTTCTTGATTCGTTATTATTTAAATCTATTATTTTGGGTTACCTTCGCCACTTGGCTTACAAATCTTCTAATAAATATAATCCCCTCATTCGTTAATTCTCTATATAACTAAACTTTATCTTTATAATTTTCTCTTTATAGATAGTGCCATCAGTTCTCCATCCACACCCAACTCCTCGCTTTCCTCACAATCGAATCTTGTTTGTGCAGGTGGTGGTACGCCATCGCCGAACACACCATCCCCCGCCACACCAACTTCACAACAATCCGCCAACACACCGCTGAGCGGCAACAGTGCGATATATCAAGCCCCAGGCGCCGGTTACGGTATCTCAACATCCGGTCATAAGAACAGTCTAAAGGGTACGAAATTGGCGCGTAGAGCGCGCTCTTTCAAGGACGATCTAATAGAGAAAATCTCCATGATTCGCACACCAAACAATACGCTGGGAAGGTAAGTGTTACTGACACTCCGTTTTATATGAGTACCGTTAGCATTTGTATTTTTTATCTCACAGATCGCATTCCCCGCACAGTCCACGTAGTAAGTCCATGAAACCGCCAACGACCGCCGAAGAGTTAGCCGCGGCTGAGAGTCCACTGCAGACGCATGTCAAGGATATTTCGAATGCGCTAAAATATTTTCGCGATGTGATATTCCGTTCGAAGCTAGAAGTTCTGCCGGGCAATGCTACTGTTATACTCGAGACAATCGCCAACATGTACACCGTTATACAGTCATATGCGTTGGATAAGCACAGCAATGTGCTTTTGTCGGCGACACAACAAGTATATCAGTCGCTGGGTAAATTAGTGAAGCTTTGCGACGAGGTAATGCTTATCTATGCAGCGCGCCGGATCGACGACGAAGGTGTCGAAGATAATCTGCAAGACGAGCATCAGCAATTGAAAGCGCTGCTCAGCGAAGATAATGTAAAGGAGATTGTTGATTTACTTGCTGATGCGGTGCGGGTAAGTGTGCCTTAAGAACCTGCTATTAATTTGCATATACATTTGAGTGTTTGTGTGTGGGCATGTGCAAAAGCTTGATCATCTCACTCAGCTGTGCGGTGCGCAAAAATGTCGTTGCAAACTAAAGAAAGCAAAAAAAAAAGAAAAAACAACAATATAAAGAATATAAACTCGTAATGAATCAGCGCCCTGTGGCTGACAATACTTTTCTGCCACCGACTGCAGTTTCTTACGCTGCTGTCTGATTCAGCGTTAAAAATAGCGCGCAAGAGAGCGAATTAGCGTGAAAGCAAGCAAGGCGTGATGTATTTAAAAAGTACAAACTTAAGAAAAAAATATATTATTTATAAAAATATTAATGTAAAGGTTCAGGGTCATAAAGAGATGAGTTCAAGTTAGCGTGTGAATGTGTTCGTTGCTTATCTGTTTAGCTCAATTGGCACTAATTAATTTGTAAAGTCGTTGTGTTTATACATTTTACATCATACGCTTTTTCCTTCCACTTGTTCTACAGAATTTGGCGACGCTTGCACATCAGAAACTGAAGGAACGCGAGGAGAATGCTTTGAAGTATGCACCAGACAATGCCGTCGCAACTACGTTGGCTAATAATGGCGCAACCGTATCGCACAATCATCTAATGCATCTGCCGGATGTTGCTGGCCAACGTACGTCGCTGCCGGACATAACGTTAACACCGAAGTAGGTCTAACAAATGTTTACCGCTTTTGTATAACCCATATTTATATTGTTTACCTTACTTACTGCCTTTTTAATGATTTGGTCTGCTTTTGGCGCTTAAGCTTGCGAGTTAAGAATTGTTGGTACATTCTAATGCGGAATTTGTAAAGCTGAATTTAGTGTTATTATAAAATGCTTATTATTTTTCGTTTATTTTCAAAGCACATCAAACCGACTTATATATTTTAAAATTTGAATGCAATAAACTTAAAATGGTGTAATATAAGTTTTGAAATTTTGAACACAATTAATGTTGCGTTAAAAATGTCTCCGAAGTTCTTTTTATATACTAAACTGGGAATATGAAGTACGCCACACAGTTGTACACACAAAAGGAAATATCAGAGACCCTAAAAGTATACATATATATTATATCAATGATCAACGTGACGAGCTGAGTCGACTTAGCCATGTCTTTTTTATGACGAGCTGTCTGTATTTACGGGAACTAGACCCTCAGTTTTCGCACTGAAAATTTCTACAAGTTGATTTCTCCCCAAGTTGTTCATTTATCGGAAGCATATAGCTGTCATACTAACTGACCGATCAAAATCAAGATAAATAATCTTTTTAGGCAAGGACTCAGTGACATTCTTGAGATTGACAAGGACATGATACTTTTATCAGCTGGAATAAGCTGGAATATCATACAATTTTCACTGAACTGTAGTGATAGATTATAGCAGATATAGGCTTTTTCGTTCCAATTACAATCGGATTTAAATCCGGCCAAGAACTGAACTCAAAATTGTTTGTATACATAGATAGCTAAACACTATTCATATATACTATTCAACCCTAACTCTTCACCTTTCCTTACAACTCAGTTCCCCTCTCTTTTATATATCATTGTATACAATTCCGCTACTCAAAATTAATTATTAAAAAAACTTAAAATTACAGGGAACGTGATATTTTAGAGAAAACCAACTCGAATCCCATACGCGCCTCACACAGTACGGAGAGCATTTTGCGCGACACCAGCCCCCCACCTAAACCACCGCTACCGAACAGGTGAGAACATAAACCTAAACAAATTCTTAAATGACTATATTTTAAATAATTGCCATATCCATACATTTCACTAGACCACCACCGCTGCCACCGAAACGCCGCAATCAACAGCAACAACAGAGTTTAAACAATAAGAGCATTAACTCGGATTTCGACTGGAGTTCGGACATTTCACTGGGCAACTACGGCGCTGATTAGTAAGTTGGCATTTTTTGTAAAAACCACTAAGAGCAGCTCGTTAATTATGCGATTTCCAAATTTCTCTTAAGTATCAGCAATCTTTCGGTGCATTCACACTCGCCGGATGAAAATTCTAGTCAATGTTCACTCGATTCAGAGCTGAATCATTCACGCGAGGAGGAGGAACTAAAGTCACTGGGTTTGGGTAATCGCTACAATGACAGCCTGCTCGATAATGATGTTGATAAATTAAATAGTAGTAAGTTTAATCAATATGTAGTTTTTGTGCAAAATACGAAACAAAAACAAAACAAAAAACCAATTACTAACCAAATAATTAAAATGAATTTAAAACCATAAATATATAAACGAAACACAAATCTTATATACAGAACCACTTGTAAGCGGTGGCAAGCGTGTTACGTTGAACAATACAGTGGCATGCAACAAAGCAATTGGCAGCGGTAATGAATCCACCAACACTGCCGTCGTCGCACAAATACAAAACGTGGCGGCGGAGAATACCAAACGGCGTGCTATTGTCACTAGTTCAGTGGCTAGCGATGGCGTGGATGAGTGTGATTTTATTTTGCAAAGTGGCAACGGTAATAATGGCGCTGGTGGCAGCGCTTTGGAGAAACTGGAAATGCGCAAAAATACTAACAATCGTCATTCCAATGAATCGGGTACTTAAAGAATATCAATTATCGATATGTATGCATTCATTGCATAACAGCGTATCATTCTAATAATTTGCGACTTTTTCTGTTGTCACTAAGTTTGCGACGTTGTTTTGTTTTTCTAATGTACACACATATTCGTAAACAGCATGCCTTGTAACATTGAAACTCGTTTTGTGTTTGTTATTGTATTTTTTGTTGTTATAGTTCAAATTTGTTTTTGTTTTTTATTTTTTTAAATAATTTTAAGTATTGCATTTTATAGTTTTTCATGATCATGTATATTTTATTTATTATTTCAAATTAGTATTCTAACTATTTGTATGAATATTATATATGGTAAACACCATAAAAATTAAACAATATATACAAGCTCTAACCCATCAATTAATTTTTTCGCTGCATTTTTCGACCTTGCAGGCTTCGTTTCTATGACATCAGTGCGCACTTCGGCACAAAGTGTATCGAAACGTTCATCCGATTGTGGTTTTCAATCGTCCACCAAGTCCAGCTCGAACTCAGAAATTGCATTCGATGCCATTGAATCGTCGAGTAGTGGTGAATTCCATACACAAGCGCAAGAGTTTCACCAGCACACAACAAATTCGACAATGACGAGCACAATGTCATCGACAATGATGGCCACATCGACTAGCATACTAAACAATATGTCTACATTGTCGCATGAGGCACGCTCGATTAGCAATAACAGCAGCATCAGTCCTGATCATTATGAGAGTAGCGGTCTCTTGACCGAACGCTCAATGCATACAAGCAGTACTAGTCACGTCACACAATCGTCATTTTCATCGCTAGTAAAGGCTAGTAGTCTGGATACAGCTTCATCATCGGATGGTGGCATGGGTTCCCACAATGATTTAGTGCCACCAGCATTGCCGCCAAAAACTAGTCGAAATAAAGATGCGCGTATATTTTCGCAATATGATAATTTCGATGAAATCGACGATCATAATGGGTGAGTGGGGTGTATGCAATGTAGAAAGTGAAATTTATGGTTAGGCACATAAAAATAATAGAAATTGAGTTTAAGACAATTTCGTCCTGTTACCTTACTGGAGTGCATTTGACAGAAAAATGCCACAGTTCGTGACGTCATAAACGAAATGAGGCCAAACTTTGCGTGTCAAGCTGAGTCGATTTTGCCATATCCGTCTGTATCTACTCAAACTAGTTCTTAGATTTTGAGTTATTGATATGAAAATTTGCTCATGTTTTCTGCACAAGAAGCTGCTCATCGAAAGATATCGTTACGAAATTCCGCATTGCAACAGAATTTAACATTTTTGTTGTTATATTTACTTCTTGATTGCGACATATTTTTCAATATTTTTGTGTATTTAAATTTTCCAAACTTATTTATTTTAGCGAAATTCCTGAACTTCGCCCTCATCATCACACCCACTACAGCAGTTACAGCCAACATAATCACCAATTCCATCATAATCACTATCAGCATCACGTGTCACCATGGCAGCAAACGAAACATCAAAGTCTACTCGACTCAAGGCATTTGGTTAGCGGCTTTGTAAGCAGTTGCACGAGTATTGGCGATCCGGAGCAACCGCCACCGCTACCGGTCAAGAAAAAGCACAGTAAGTTCAATCACACGGCACACACAGTTAATTTATATTTTCGTATTTTTTCTCTTCTGTTTTCTGTTTTCTTTTTTCTATTTTTTCACTGATTTATATTTACGTCACATATTGCGTTCGGTCTTACATACATACATGTATATGTATTTATTATTGTTTTTGTGTAATTTGTTTGTGTATTATTTGTAAACAACACCCATACGCACCTATAAAATCGCAAACATTCTTATACACATATATGCGTTTATTTATATACATACATATATGTATATAATTATATTTTCTGCGTACGCCCACACACGCCAACAAAACCACACAAACCACATTGTTTGTTGTCATGTTAATCACCGTTTTCCTGGTTCCATTTGACGGCGGTGGTCCATTCACTTTCACCTTCGCACAATATGCATACATGCATACATACCTACATACATGTACCGTTAATTTTTGTTTCTATCACATTAAAAAAAAACACATTTAATTGCATTAAAAATACTTTAATTAAATTTATTTGATAAAATTTTTATTTTTTAAATTAAAATTTTCATTTCAATAAACCGTTTCTAAAATAGTATTTATCATAAGTCGTTTGCATTCAAAATCAGACGCCACAAACACCAAACAACAACAACTCAAGCGACAACTTGTACAAACCAAAATAGTACAACACTTACAGTATCAACAAAACCGCCAACTATTTCCGCATTTTCCACTACACTTCCGTTACATAGTAGTAATAGCAATTCTCAAACACAAATGTGTCACAATAACAGTAACTGTACTCCCATACACAGTAGTAATCCAAATGACTTGCTTGGTAGAAGCAAACAAATACATGCACAAACGAATACCGAAGCCGACCAAACAGTAACTGAAACAGAAAAGGCAACAGCGACAGCTACAGCAACAACACCAACAACAGTTACCAATAAACATTATTATGAGCATAATAATTATAATGTTAATAATAAATGTAATATTGTCTTGCGAAAAACACTAACCCAAATGAATTGTTCTAACGATTTAGTGTTTCAAAGTGTGGCCTTCTCGGGTAAGTTGGACTGCCTGCCTGCCTGCCTGTGTTCTTCTCCACTCCACTTTTATATAAGCGAACAATTTGTTGTTTTGCCTTTAGTGCAATTGGCAATTTATTTACATTGTATTTGATTGCAAAATTGACTTTTTATTGTTATTGCTTTATATGTTACATACATACATACATACATATGTGCAAAATGTACATATGTACATGCATATATGTTTTAAATGAATGTTGAAGAGTTGCTATTTCAAGCCAAAGCTATTTATTTGATTGAATATATTATATATTCTCTCGTTGTTCATTCATTGATTGATTTCTACTATAGAACAGTTATGTTTTTTATGCGCTTTTGATTTGCTTCTCACACTTCATCTCTGCTTTACAACAAAAAATAAGCGCAAAAAGCTGGGTGTTTTATTAGGAGATATAGCACTATTTACAATCTATTTCATTTTAATATTCCAAATTTCAATATAAAATATTCTCTAAAATGTAAAATTAAATTTTTTAAATAAAATTTATCGTTTCACTTTAGCAAAGTGTTCTGAAGTATTTTTAGGTATATGTTTCTATTTATATAACCTTTTGAGCAAATTAATTGAATTTTTGAAGTTTTGATTTTGTTAATAATACTAATAAAACTATTTAGAAGACTGCTATAAGGGATTATATCCATTTGTCAGACAAAACATCGTTTTTTGTGATTTTTTTTTTTGAAGAGGTACTTTATTTATTAAATAAATAAAAGTTGATTAACTCAAATCTCAAAATCAATAAAATTTGATATAACTATAGACGAATACAGGTATTGATCATAGGACTACTTAGTCAAAATTTTGATTTTTGAGAAAATGGAGGCTCAAACATGTCGTTTTGACTTTCGAGTGGCTTAAAAATCTAAATTAATAATAAAAATCTTTTTCCTTCAAACATTACCTGGCAAAAATATCTAAGAAGGTCGTTTCAGAGAATTTTCTCCACCGACTCTGAAAACAGCGTTTCACTAAGTTAAAAAGTTCTTACAAATACGCTCATATCTCCGAAACTTTTTGCCGTATCAACTCAAAAGCAAAACACAAAATCGATTTTTGAAATTCACAAGTGGATATAACACCTTAAATAAGACATATTACAATCTCAACTGCGATAAGGAAAGCCTTTTAAAAAAATCAAACAAAAAACAGTCTATTAGTTCTTCAGAAACCTGGGATCTTCCACCCTTTATCTATCTATCAGTCTATGCAGAGTTTCTTGATTTTTTTTTTTAATTCTAACGGTGGATTTTTATAAATTTAATAGAATTACATAGAACTAATTTTTATTAATATTGTAAATTATTGTAAATTTATAACTTACAAAAAAATTTCAGGCAAAGAAATCCAAAACATAAGATTTTTAAAGTTATTTTACTTAGTTCATTATTTCTAATATACATATACTATTGACCAAGCGACATATCAAGATAGGCTTCTGACTGTTTATTTCAAAGTACTTCGCGGTTTTAAAAATATTGTATGAAAATAATGCATAAGAAATAAAAATTAAGACCGAGTAATTATTTATTTATTATCTGCTTCCATATTATTGTATGTTAGATCTAATTTTGCGTAACACTTTTTGCAAAAAAAAAACTTAAAAATATAAAATTTTCAAAATTTTAATTTTTGAATACATTTTGTTTTCGAAAATTTGCTGATCGTTGCTACCGGGTTCGCGAAATTTGACGTTTTTTTAATTGACTAACAGATGCTCACCTTAGTCAAAATAATAATTATTTTATGTCTTAAAAATTAAAATAAATAATTAAATTTAAAATTTTATTTCTTCAGCTACTTTTGAATACTTTTATAGGTTAAGCTTTTTTTTTTTATAAAATTGGGACGTTAACCTACAAAAAAAACTAGAAACATAATTTGATTCAATTACAAAAATAAATGTGCTTTTCATTCTCCTCACCTTATTTGCAAATAATGCGGTTTTACGTTTACATCCTCAAACTAGTTCCAACTTAAAAATGCCTTTTTTGAAATAAGATATTGTTACTTCACAGTTAGGTTGTTTGTTACGTTGCGCGAAGTGCTTCTATTAAACATATGTATGCCGTTGACATGCATTGAGTTTTTGCACAATTGTTAAATTTTTATTTGAAATCTACAGTAGTCAGCGCTGATGGTTTAGCGAAGCGTATTTTCTACTCATATGTAAGCTTTGAAATTAATTTTATTCTATTCTTTTATATTGTCACGCCTTACAGCTCATTTGTGGCTATGAAAATCATTTTGCCTTCTTCATTTGTAGCTGTGTCAGCCTGTCTACCATCTGCAAAATATATCCATAAAATTCATTTGTTACAAACAAAGCTTGAATTCTCCAAAATGTGTTTACTGTTTAACTGCCATTTACTGCTTCCGATTCCTTATAAATTATTTACCTTTTTATATAAATTAGTTGCTAAAGTTATTCCATACTTAATTTTCCACAGTTTTCGCATATATGGAGCTGTGTCAGGGCCCCCATCGACCCTTCGATCGTCATACGATGCACGGGCAGAATTTAACGGGGAACATTACGCACAGCCAAACAATGAAGTAAGTACAACCAATACACATTTTCAATAATTTTTTGCATAAATATATTTAAAAAAATGTATTTTTTGCAGCATTGTGCCACTACCAAAGGACTTATCGCCACCGTCGGAGCAAGAAACGCCACCAGCACTCCCACCAAAGAATTACAAACAGCAGCGCAAGTCCAGCGCAACACCACCCACCATAATTACAACGCCACCACCTAGTCCAAAGCCTACACATTTAAGTGCTAGTAGCGATGCGGAGAATGCGCGTCCAGCGCGCGTTTTATCCGCCACACAGGGCAGTGAAATGATGTCCACCGTATGTGAGGAGCTCGGCGATCTGACAGAAGAAGAACAAGCGTCGCTCCGTCACTCTCACCAGCTGCCCAATGAGAATTGTCACGACAATCATGTGACAAGTCGTCATTCACCACTGCGTCGCGCCGACACACATGAGGGCACGACCAGCAGCAGATCTGATAGCGCTGGTGAAGATCAATTATTGCAGAACAATAGCTTTAGTGATGATAAGGTAGGCCAGATTTGTACTCAAAGAAAAAAAAAAAAAAATATATATATATATATATATAATTATTGTATATCTATTGTATAGTGTGGTGAGTTGCAGACGGTGCCACAAGATGAATTGCCAAAAATGCTGGAAGAAATTGATGTCACCAAATATTTGGTGCTCAAGCGAAAGGATGAAGACGGACCGGATGTGAAGGGCGGCTACGTTGATGCATTAATCGTGCATGCGAGCCGCGTGCAGAATGATAATGGTGAGTTAGTGTCAAAAATTGACAAGTGGTGTCTAGTGGGTTTACAATACAGTGGAACACTACAGGTTGCCATAAAAACAGTGTGTAAAATGCTGGAAAATTGATGCACTTGTTTCGAAGTCAAGAAAAAGCATGCTTACATGCATCTTTTACACATTTTAATTGATGTTTACATAATCGAACCATTTTTTATATTTTCAGCATTCATTGATGCCTTCATCACGACGTTTCGCACCTTTATACAGCCGATCGATGTGATTGAAAAACTAACACATCGCTATACAATATTTTTCTGTTGCCAAAATGATCAGAAGCAACGTGTTGCACGTGAGACATTCTCACTACTAATGCGAGTAGTGGATGGCTTAACGTAAGTAAATTTATATATATTTTTTTTTTATAAAAAACTAGTTTTACTACTTCACATGCACATTTTAGGTCAATGGACCTGACAGATCAGTTATTAGCGCTCCTAGTTGAATTTAATTATCAGCTGGTATGTGCCGGCCAATTGTATTTAGCGAAAACATTGCGCAGCATATTTGTAGAGAAGGTAAAATCAACTCACATCACAAATCATATATTGTACATTGATAATTCACTTAATTTGTAGGTGACGTTATACCGGGAACAACGTTTGCCACCACCCAAAGCCGATATGCATATCACCGTCACCAATCAGCCCAGCCTGCTCGATCTCAAATCGGTGGAAATTGCCGAACAAATGACACTACTCGATGCCGATCTATTTCAGAAGATCGAAATACCCGAAGTATTGCTCTTTGCCAAAGAACAGAGTGAAGAGCGTTCGCCCAATTTGAATAAGTTTACCGAACACTTTAATAATATGTCATTTTGGGCACGTTCGAAAATTCTCACTTTAGGCGATGCCAAAGAACGTGAAAAACATGTTATTAAATTCATAAAAATTATGAAATATTTGAGAAAAATGAATAACTACAATTCATATTTGGCTTTATTATCAGCGCTCGACTCGGCGCCCATTCGGCGGTGAGTTATCGTTACTAGCTGCTTAATTACTATTAAATTTTCGGCTATTTTAATCGCTGTTTCTTTTTCTTTTTATTTAGACTGGAGTGGCCCAAGACTATAACGCAAGACATCAAGGAATATTGCCTGCTAATTGACTCTAGCTCTAGTTTTCGTGCATATCGCACTACTTTGGCTGCTACAAGTCCACCTTGTATTCCGTATATGTAAGTATTAACTCAATGATGTTGATATAAGCACTTTTTGCGACAAAGAAAAAACATATATACAAAATGCAGGCAAGTCAATAGTAGTGGTATAGAAAATACTGGTATAAAAGTTTTTAATAGAAGCAGGGTTGCAAATAAGGCATTAAATAAATAATTGAATAAACAGTTGAATAATTTTTTTTTATTTTGTAATTCCAAAAATCTTAATTCAAAATAGTTTTTTATCCTAAATGCCACATCGAAAAATAAAAACAATTTAATCCCAAATAACGGAATGAAAAAGTCTTTTTTTAATCTCAAAAATATAATTAAAATTATGTATATATTTTTTAATGCCAAACACCAGATTGAAAAAATAAATCTATAAACCCAAGCTTATAATTAAACATTAACAAATGAAATTGTTTTAGAATTTTTATTTTTCCGCGATTGCGTATTGCGTATTTCGTGTTTTACTATTTTAGTTTTCTTTTGAAAAGGAAAGCTTATTAATAAAGTATCAACATAGTTTAGCTCTATTTTTTTTTTATATTTCATTGTTTTTAATTATAATGTTTTATATAGGTATACGTAAATATTTCGTTTTTTATTCCATTCATTTGAAGAAAAATTTTTTTTGTTACACCATTTTTTAAATTAAAACATATTTTTATTATTAACTTTAAACCAAAAAAAATTTTTTTTGAAAATTTAATTTTTGATCCCAAAATTGGAAAATTGAAGTCAAAAAATTAAAATCTAATTTTTAATCACAAAATCGGAATTAAAAGTTTAAAATATAAATTTTAATTCAAACATTTTAAATTCATATATAAATAAACCTGGATAGTAGTTTTATAATTTTTTTTGTTTTTTGAACGAAAATTTAATGTAACTTTTTAATTTTACTAAACAGTGGTCTAGTCCTGCAAGACTTAACATTCGTACATGTTGGCAATCCAGATTATTTGAAGGAAGGCGTGGTCAACTTCTCCAAACGTTGGCAGCAATATCACCTAATAGAGAATATGAAGCGCTTCAAAAAATGGTTTGTGCACTTAACAGACTTTTATAGCTTAAACTTTCTATAATCTTATTTCTCATTTACACAGTGATTACAACTTCCGCCGCAATGAGCGCATTATACGTTTCTTCGATAACTTTGAGTATGAACTGGGTGAGGAAGAAATGTGGCAAATATCGGAGAGTATAAAACCGCGAGGCCGACGACCTGTACAAGCATAAAATGTTTGCGCAGCGAAAGCCATACATTCACATATCCTGAAGGAATACTCAATTATCAGCAAAGAAATAAAATAACAAAAATGAAATGTGCACGCAATATAATAGAATTACTTATATGCAAACTACATTATTCAGTGCTGGCAGAGGGATAGCATTTAATGAGAGTAACAGCAGTCGAGCAGAAAAATAAACACAAAACAAAGCTATTAAATAGTAATAAAAAAAAATATATATACCAATGCACAGTTATATAGGATGCACACTTGCTATCATCATATATATATATATAAACGCATAGTGATAATCACCGCAACATGCACTCATTGAAAGCACATCTTATTTCGACATAAGCAAAAATTATAATAATATGCCAACCAAATAAAAAATTGCACATAAGTACGATTTGAAAAGTAGTAAATTGCTTTAAATTAACAAAAGCTTATGAAAAATGTAGAACAAAGAAAAAACAAATCAGCTCAAATGATGGTGAGCAACCAAATACCAAACCAAACTCAACTTGCACCGACACAAACACAACGAAATTATATTATTATATATTATATTGTATGTATTGCATGTTTTTGTACACCTTATCAGTTTTCATATATGAAAGAATTTAACTGTCTCTTTAACAGTAATGAGCAGTCGATAAGAACGCCGTGTTTCATATAACAAGCAATCAAGTAATTTGTTTTTATATTCATGTAAAGTAACAATAAATCAACGATAAATTCATAAACCGTCAATATGTATGTGAAAAGATGTCGAAACGAGCGCTTAGCGTAACAAAAACGAATGAACTTTAAAAGTAAACAAAAAGTGTTTTTAATTTTTATGCAACTTGTATTTCTTGAAAAAATAGTTTTTACCGTTAGACTGCAGTGTTAGTATGCTAGCGATGTCTTAGTTGCTGGCAGCCTGTTTTCACTCTATTCTGTCAAAAAAATGGTTTTGCTTATGCCCCTAAATGCTATTATGCTAAGTTGTTTACATTTCTAAAAAATGAAGAGAAAAAAAATGTGCAGAAATTGTGGTGAATTTGTTTTGAGAAAAATATAATGTGAAAGCAGTGTATTGCAAAGGCCATTAAAATTTTTATAAAAAATATTATCTATAAAAAAAAATTATAAATTTCATTAAAATGTCTTAAAAATTATTATTAATACAAAAAATTTATAAATGCCTTAAAGTATCTTTAAAAGTTATTATATAACAAATAAAAAGCTCATTTTACTGCTTGCTATTTTTTTTTTAATGATTTGTTATATAAAACTTTCAAAATTGTAATTTTCCACAATATTTAAAAATGTGCCACCAACCATTTTATGCACTGAATGTATGGAAAAATAATTTTTTGATTTTATTATAAACAAGATTTGGATACTTTATAAATAATGACCTAAATTGCATATATAATTTATGCATACTAGCATTATGTATTAATAAGATTGAGTTAGTGCAGGCAGTGTTGTTAATATAGATTGTTACTACTTTCTTGAACTACAGAATTGACAAATATATGCAAGTTTAAACATATTTCAATTCTTATTTAGAATTTTTGGCGCATGAACATACACACATTTATTTTTATAACCTAAAAGTTAAAAGCGAATATACTCCAAATAACTGTTAGACCTCAAATATACTATACTACATATGCATTTTTTAAATGACAGTATTTTGTATAATTCAGATTTTTTTTCTGTTTTTAATTCAAAATTTTATATCACAAAACACTAATATAAAGTTTTACGATGTTTGCGCGCTAACAAATTTAAAATAGTCCAAAAATTATCTTCAGAAGCACTGCTAAATTTATACCACACACTAAACTAAATGAATATAAAGAAGACTGTCTTAGGATATAAATTAAATAATTGCACTGCATCGTACTGGCGAGGATCTGGATCCGTTATGCTTTGCTGTGGTCAAAAGGAAATATGATGCAGCAAATGATGTAATCACTGCTAGCAATACAATAATTACAAGGATGGTATTGGTAATCTACACTTGTTTATGAAATGAGTAGTAGAAAATGTGAATATGTGAGTTTGCTTTTCATATAAAGCAAAAAGTACATTTATGTACAAAACAACAAAAATGTATTCAAAAACATTGATAAAATGCATTTGTATAATTTTTAGGTTATATCTATACGATACAATAGAAGTGCTGCTATCGTTTGTAAAAATACAACATTTTAAATTATGTAAAATTGTAACAATATTTAGTTGCATGATATATTTTGTATAATATTTTCACACAAAACTATATATAAATAAGGTATATCTAAATAAGGCTAAACATCTACTCTATAAATATGGGTATGAATGTATGTAACAAATGAATAATATGGTACTGCAAATCAGAACTGTTTCGTTTCAAACATGCTATGGTAGCCAAAATCCTTATCTATGCATTTATTTCTTTCTTCATTTTCATATAATTTTTTTTTATACTATCTATCTGAACTAATTCTTGTAAAATTGCTTATGTGCCTAATATAGTATATAAAAATCTTAAATATGTACTTTTAATTCTACACAACTAATTATAAATGTAGTGGATTAACTAAATTTTTCTTCTTTACTTTTATTGTTAATTTAAAACAAAAATAACTATTTACTTTGTATTTTCTATTTTATCTATATTTTCAAATCAGCTTATAAGTAAAGATATTGTGAAATATCTCTTTCATTCGGTATAATTAATTGTAGTGGAATTTCTTATAACATTTAAGCTAAAAAATCATATAATAAAATGTATATGTATATGTAAATGTCAAAGAATAGCATACATATGTATTAGCAACTACTTATGAAACATGCAAATAATGTATCATGTATAACATTGCAGTGATCCACATTAATGTTTATAAATATACATTAAGTATGAATTAATTTTATCTTAATAATATTAAAAAAAAAGTAAAACTGAAAATAACTATAAAAAACTATTTATGAAATTACTTTACAAAATAAATGTATGTACACATATTTTCCTTCGAAAGCGTTGTTTTTTCTACACTTTTTCTTACAAAAGAAAACAAAATGTTAACTTCGGCTGCATCGAAACTATAATACCATTTGCAGGAGCATTTATTATAGCATTAAAGGTTATAAAAAGTCTTTATCTGGATATTGATCGATCACTTTGTATAGCAGCTATGTGCGGTAGTGGTCCGATCTGAATATGTTTGGAAATTGTAGCGTTGCTTTGGACAATAATCCATGTTAAATTTTGTGAACATACCTCGGCAAGTAAAAAAGTTTTCCATACAAGGGCTTCATTTTGATCGTACAGTTTGTATGACAGCTATATGTAATAGTATTCCGATATCGGCGACAAATGAACAGCTACTTGGGGAGGAAAGAACGTATGCAAAATTTCAGATCGATATTTCAAAAATTGAAGGACTTGTTAGCGTATTAACGGACGAACGGACCTATGAATATGGCTAAATCGATTACGTTGGTCATTTATACACTACATACAAATATAGTTTAAAGGGTATTCGACGTTTCCTTCTGGGTATTACGTTTTTGTAGGCAAACTTTATATACCCTCAGGGTATAAAAATAGTATTTTCAAAACTTACGACTCGATTTAATACATATAGTTAAATACATACATTCACATTATTAATAAATTTATATTATTTGTTCTCTGCGGTAAATACATTTACAGTAGTTTCCACCGTATTTTTAAATGTTTAATTCTATGGTGCTATTTTACCACTTGTTTTTTATTTTTCACCATTGATCTGCCTTTTTCAACACTATTTTTATGCAACTCTGTTACTGGACGACAGCACTAAATATTTTTCTTACTATTCAATAATTTTATTTCAGCATATTATGGAATAACTTATGTTCTCAATAAAATCTTTTATAAAATTGAACGAGAGCCAGAAATTATTTAGAAATTTAAGAAAAACAAACATGTACCCCTTTGCCATTTTTTGATTTATTGCAAACGATTTATTACGATACGACAACTCTACTCTTATTTCACGAAAAGTGCTTGAGCGAAAACGAAATCGACGAAACTGCTGAGAAACGATTCGATTAGTCGCTCGAAGAAAGTCGGAAGAAGAAAAAGTGTTTTTAAATAAAGCTGTAGTAAAATTTAAAAATTTTTAGGTGCATTTCCTCTCAGATTGCACTACTTCAATCGACCTAAACAAAGGATTTGCCGCAGAAACGCAAGCAGGCAAAAAAACGCTGAAAATATTTCAAGTGCATCGCGATAAGTGACGGTAATTTTCTTTGGAAATAATAGCCCATATACATATTACTTACCGGCGAAGTGAGTGTGTGCTGAATATTTGAAAAAGGAAAAAAATCTGTAGAGTGAATGAAAATATTATTTCCGACATTCCAGTCTGAATTTACGAAAGTCGAAAAACAATTGCATTAAAGTGTTTTTATTGTGTGCAACAGAGGCAAAAATATATATATATATATTAAACAATAATAAGCTGGAAGTGGAAGAAGTGAAGAACAAAAGCGGTGAATATCCTTAAAAATTTCTTTGTGTAGTAAGTGTATTTGTTTTTGTATGTAGTTAGGTAGGATATATACCTATTTATTTAAGAAATTAGATTATGGGCGGCAGCTTCCTCGCAGAATTTTATGCCGCCTAATACCGGCTTTGGATTTAGCGTTGCTTTGTTTGCGTCTGCACAGAAAAGGGTGTGTGCTCTTACCAATGGAAAGTTTGGCGAAGGCGACGTCAGCGGCAGTTATATATATGGTTATATTGACAAGAACTAAAGCAGACGACGTTTGCGCGAACTCCAAATCAGCAACAACAAAGGTTTATTTCGTTTGCGAAAAGCCAGAAAAAACATAAGAGCCAGAAGAGAGCATAAAATTATCGAAGTTGATCGGGTTACTGAGAGCATAATACTCTTGGTGCATTGCAGATTCGATTACTCCCCATAATTTGTTTTGCTGATTATTATGATTTTTAAATATAAATTATTGCAGATTGAATATCAAAATATTAAAAAAATAAATTAAATGCAACAAAAGCGGCCTCATAATGCCATATTTAACTTTTAGCATTCAATTGCGATAAGCGAGGAATGTTTATTTGTCACGTCGCCGCCGCAAAGTTGTAACAACAACAATACGCGGTATTCAATGTTTTTAAATGACGCTTTTGTGGGTGGTGTTGCTGGGGTGGTAGAGTGCAACTATTGGGAACATGAATAGCATATTAATTAAATGTTCTCCATATTTTTATTCCGGTATATCACATAAGACAAATTTCAACCTTTTCTATATCGTAAATATATTTAAAACCCCTTGTTTGTACGATTTACGACAACACTCAAAAAGCGCGTCTATTAGTCATTGTTGTGAATCATCAGCTGTGTTAGTTTTCAATAATTACTTGATAACATAATTATCGCTTTATTGTAGTGAAAATATCAGCAAACTAATATGCAAACACTGCAGGATTAAATATGATGAAAAAGATGATAAAATAATGTATGCACCTAAATATATAGTGTTGGGTTTGCATTTATTGCTACTAGTCAACCATTATTAAATTTAAATTTTGCAGTCCATGTAAGGCACATTCACTTAGATGAACAATAAAACTATACATATTCTCGGTTCGTACTCTTGGTATTATTTATTTATTTATTTCGCCTACTTTACTGGTATAGTGTAGTCGAGACATTCGATTGATTGACCAAGCTTATCCATTTGCCCTTGGGTAGCAGCTTTTTTCAGCGATGAGCCCATTCAACGTTCAATCAACCCTCTGTCAGTATATAGGCAGATATCTACAATGGTAAGCTTAATGACGTTGTTCCCTAGCTATTGCCATTCCTTTCGTCCAACAGAAAAAATTAAATAAAAAATCAAAGAAACACGGTCTAGGTCGGAATTACGACTCTGCCTTTTACTATATATGTTTGCAGTTCGCAACGTTGCCAGCTGCATACACTGCAGCGACTCATAGTTTTCTTTGCCGGACACAATGTCGAGCACTTTCTATTGTTACGAATTCGTATGCGTCTTTATCGTTAACACAGTGTCAACTGAAAGAAAACGCATATAAAATTCCAAACAAAAAAGTCTCAAAACCTTTAAATTAAAACTAAAATGAAACATAATATAATGGTTAAATGGGTATGTGTACATATGTACGTATGTATATGAGGATGTAATCAGTGGAAAAAAATGTATATAGATGTTATTGACAATTTAAACACTTTTCAAACATTCATACAAAAACATGCAGTACATGTGTGTATGTAAATATTTCTATATTCAACGTTAATGATTAGCGATATATGAACAGCTCAGCGTGTTGCGACAAGTGTGGAGGTGTATATCTGCGCTTTAGTCAACTGGTTGCTAGAAATCAAATGACCTCATTTATACATGGGATCTCCATCAGTCACGCACGCTTGCCCACTTTCCATTTTGCTAAATGAGAATAGGTTTTTATCTAGCTTTTTATGTTTTTATTTGCAGAAATTTATTTAATTTTGCTTTAGGGCTTGGTATTGAGCAAAAAGCGCAGATAGGGGGAGTATACAAAATCCAATTTTTACTCAATAAAATACCACTTCGTTATACAATTTTTTTTCTGTATGCAAGAACTAAATTTATTAACTGCGACCAGGGTTGCGATTTTTTTATTAAACGTTTTTATAGTCAAAATTAAATTTGTAATTCCGGTTTTCGGGATTCTGATTTTGGGAATATTGATTTAAAAATTGAAGATTTAATTTTTTAATTTAATAATAACTGACTTGAAAATTGAAACTCTTGGGTTAAAAATTTGAAAATATTTTTTTATTTGAAAATTTGAGTAATAAATATTATTTTTCATGTTAAAAGCAAATAAAAATAGTTTTCAATTAAACAATTGATGTAAAAAATAAAAAAAATATTTTTCAAGAAATTAAATGCTAAATATTATTTTTCATGTTAAAAGCAAATAAAAATAGTTTTCAATTAAACAATTGATGTAAAAAATAAAAAAAATATTTTTCAAAAAATTAAAGCTTAAAAGAGGAAAGATTTACATATTTATAACTGAAACATTATTATATTAAATTATAAGCGATTAATCATAAATAAAACAAAAAGAGCAATACTGTGTTGATATTTTCTTAAAAATAAGCTTTCTTTTTAAAAGCAGAATACGAAGTACGCAAATGCAAAAAAATGTAAATTCTATATCAATTTCTTTCTTCAATTTTTAATTATGAACTTGTAATTAAATTTATTTCTTTCCGGTGTTTGGGCAAAAAAGTTAAAAATATTGATTTTAACACGGTTATTTGGGAAAACATTTTTTTTTGTTTATTTTTCAATGCTATGTTGAAGTTTAATTTTTTTTATATTCTTCAATCCGGCATTTGGGATTAAAAATTTAAAAATTATTTTTAATTCAGATTTTCGGTAAAAATTTCGATACAAATGTCAATTAAATTATTTTTTAATGCATTACTTGCAACCCTAAATGCGGTAAACAAAATGAAATACTTTAAAATTAAAATACAATTTGAAATCAGAATTTAGCTATAATGCAGATAATGAAAAATTTGTGATTCGAATAATTTTTCTAGCGCCAACGAAAGTGTTGTAACAATTTTAATAATTTATTTTAGTTTTTCTCAAACCCTTCGCTGTATTTTTAACAAAACATAGCGCTTGCCATACAACAAATAGAAGTGTGTGAATAGAAAATGAGAAGTGCACTTATAACGCACAAGTGCACGTTGTCGAAATTAAATAGTCTATTTTGTGAAAATTAGAAAAATATTCCACATAGTTTACAAGTAGCATTTAAAATGGGGGAATAGAATATGGGCTGTCATTGCCCATTTCGCCGTTACACAGGTGCCAAACACAGGTGCTGTGCAAGTGAATGACATATCAATCGCTTTGTAGGAAATCATATACTTGTTGGTGAAAAAACAGCGCTCAAACTAAATGGAATATGCACACACACACACACACACAAACAAACATACATGCAACCTGAGCATTAATCTGCAATCAGTGTCCTACTGTTTTCATTAGAACTCAAAGTGGGAGTATTGTATTGCCTGCAGCTTTCTTCCATACCAAGCATATGTCTCATGAAAATATCCGTTTATATTGCGCCTCTTTCTGCATGAATTCGTAACTTATTTTATTTTTATTTCAGCTTTTCCTCCGCTAAATTGTGTAAATTGTGTTCGTCGTGTTGGAAAAGGCCTGAATGCCTCATGTAGGTTGGCTGTTTGACTGGACCGTATGGTGGTACTGGTTGGTTTTTCTGTTTTCTGTTCAGCACAAGTGCGACATGAATAGCGAAATCAAGTCAGCCGACACAAGCGAGGCATCCAACAACTTGGACAGGAAAACGAACAAACACTACTTCAAGCCGCCAAGCAACTTTTATCTGTTTCCTTTTTACTGATTTTATTGTTATTACCGTACACTTGTCTGATATGTGTGCTTTGAGCGTATTGTTGTTGTTCCCTGTTGTGGTATGCATTATGGCCGATTGTGGTATTTGCTCGATTGTTTAGCGGTGCTCCAGGCTGTTTGGTTATCTTCAAGCAGGCTTATTTGCCTTGTTTTTGTTGCCTTGTGGCCTGCAGCGGCAAACAACACGACGATGACGACGACGACAACGACAACTTGTCCAGACTATACTGGTGTCTCCAGTGTCATTGCAGCATGAATGCCAAATACCATGCAACGGCCTTAATAGTGTAATCGCCAAGGAAATACTTGCAACGGGGCAAACCTTTGCCTTACAACAACAACATATATGTATATAAATGAACCTGGCAAAATTTAGCTTACGTACTATGGCTCAAATTAGACATTTTTTTGACCAAAAAATTTAGCGCAACTTGTACTTGGTATTTTTTTTTCAACAAAAATTATCAGCTTTTTGTGCAAATGAACTGTGAAATTTTTCTCTCATAGTCTTCTACTTTCCTGTTATTATTGTTGTTGTAGCGTATACTTAGACCCCGTGGCGGGGAAACAGGAAACCCCACCATATCAATTTCGATTTTTCTGCTTATACAGATCGGACTTATATAGTATATCTAACCAATTACTGTCACTATTTAGAAAATGTTTTATGCAGATACAAAAACAAATACATGTTAACTTTTGACAGCGTAAACATCGCGAGCAGAAAAGTGGCGAATCGAAGTGGTCTATTGTAAAGCAGACCTGACATCAAGAAAGTCTCTTTTTTGGAAGATAGAAAAACTATTTTTTTTGTTTGAATATATATTTTATTTAATAAACAAATAAAAATACTGTACATTTACAGATTTTAAAGTACTTTTATAAACGGTGATACGTTTTGTAACTTTTTCGGTTGCCTTTATCCCGTAACCGATCTCCGGCAGGACTTCCAAAAAAAGGTTTCTGATTCGGTGAGGTAGATTTTTCTGCTTAAAAATATTTTTTTATCTATAGACCAAAAAAATATATACATATATATCATTACAACAGATTAATACAGGTAATAACCGAGAGACTGGTCAACAATTTTTTGACCTTGGCGGGTTTCCGAAAAAACCGTTTATCTTAATCTTTCGCTCCCAAACTGACAAATACATATATTAAATATAAGAAGGTCGTGTGAAAATTTCTAGTCATTCGATGCAGCCGTTTCGAAGAAATTTTCTTCACCGACTTTCAAAACGGCGTTTAAAGTTTTGGGGGCCGATTACATTCATGTTAAAATTTTCTTAAAAATACGCTCTTTATCTCCGAAACTATTTGCTGAATCCTTCACCTTTAAACAATATTTCTTGTAGTGGCGTTATATTCAAACTACGACCTTTTAATTCAATTTAATAACTTTTATACTGATTAAGTTAATGATTTTTACTTATTTTACAAATACATACACACACTTCTATATTCTGAATACTAGCGTAACACTTTGTTTAAAAGTGTTGCTCGTACTACCAGTATGAACTCTGCTTGCTGGCCTGACGGCTGCATAAATGTCATCAATGGAGCAGAAGACAGTTGACAAGTTTTTCTCAATATTTTTGTTTTTGTTTTGCTGTTGCTTTTCTGTTGATTGCATTGCTGCCATTGCCGCTGTTGCAGATGTCTTTATCCATATATACATGTAGGAAAGATTGCCTTTTTTATACATACATACATACATATATTTCGGTCTCTGTTAAATGTTTTTTCGCTCTTTTATTTTACATACATACGTATGTACTGACGTTTTTATGTATTTTCTTCATTTTTTAACTTCCGCTGCAGTATGCAGCAAAGCGTAACCGATATTGCACCGAACTTGCTAGCCTACAGTCAACAGTAGCCGCAAAACCAAAAAAAAAAAACAAAAAAAAATGTGCATATAGGGACCCCCTGGATTTTGACATTTTGTAGTTGATTGCCAGCCGTTGCGCTTGTGTGGTGAAATATTTTTATATGCATATATTTTATAAAAAATGATGTGACACATTCGTTCAAGTAAACCGCAGAGGGTACCGACAAAGCCCATCATCAATAAGTACACCGAAATAATTGGTGAGCAGTGATTTCTTAGAGTTAGTTGGACTCAGACGGGTAAAAGAAACTTGTGTACTGTGCGAAAATCACGTAATTACGGTACTGTGTTCGACTCCGATGTGTCGTGGGACTAGTTGTATATCCTTTGCAGTTTAACAATATAAAGCTTCATTGCTTTGAGTTAAAAAAGGAATTAAAATTCAATATCCTCAAAACTAATTTTTTTTTTGTCATAAACCTGAAAGCAAACATAGTTGACCAAACACCGTCAGTTTCCACGACTCTGTCGACTAAACAACATTCCTGAAAACTATTTGAGCCGGAGCGAACCCGAAATTTTTCTCGGGGAGTGTTTTTTGCCTATATTATAACAACAACCAAACACTACTGGTATGGTACTAGAGTATAGACCATAAGTTTTCTCGTATGTTTTAGACCTCCAAACTCGTTTAGGCTTCACACAACCAGTCAGCGATTCTTGTACCGAATAAAAAGTTGTAAGAATAGAGAAAAATCCTAAATAATAAATGCAGCTTTAGTCGTGATGGTGGTAACTTGGGTGCTCGCCAATTTTACCAGCTATACGACATAAGTTTTGGCTATTTAATTGGTGGTGGCAGCAAAGAGTTTCTGATCGCTTTTTGTTGCAACACAGCAGCTCAACAAATATCTACTTTGTGTATCTAATTTTATCAGCAACTCCGCATTTGCTACTTGGCTCGCTTGGGCGGAAACGTGGTGTTTTCAACAGCTTCTGTTGTTGATCGTGGTGGTGGTGGTGGTGGTGGTAGTCCGTCCACATAGTGCTGATAGTGTATTGGGGTTCACAATGTCGACTCTCCTCATTTGTATTGCTCAGCGTTAGCGGTGGTGGCATAATTCACACTTGTCCGCCACTTACCAACAAATACCAAAATAAATGAGAAAGGCAGAGCAAGTTGCTAGCAACCCTCTGCTGAAACCGGTGGGCTCTAGTGGTGGCATTGTATCCATATTTGGTTATTACAACTACCATATACAGCTGTATACGTCGAAGCGTTTTGCCCTGCATTGCTGTTTGGCCGTGTTTATTTGTTTTTGTGTGTCTTCTTTTGCTTTCTCATTTTCTTTACACCGGCTACTAGAGCTGCTGCATTTGCTTTGCCTTTAGAAGAGAGCGCCGGCAAGTAAAAGAAAAATACGCTCAATATTTGTTGCAAGTGTCGTGCACTCGTGCTGCGTGTGGCGCCTTACTTCCACCTACACAGTAAGCGAAATTTTTATTTTAGTTTCAGTAGCTCGGCTCAGTTGACTTTTTATTCCACTTGCTGGCGACATTAATTGAGTTTTAACGCATACATTATTTTTATAATTTAATACATTGCGTTTGTTGTTGTTTGGCGAGTGCAATGCATTTTGGTGTGAGGAATGTGCGTTAGTTGACTTGAACTATGCGAGTAGCGTTAATATTTTAATTGGTAAATTATTTTAGTTGTGTCATCTAAGTGCTTGCTATGTCTTGTGGAATTGATCAAAAACATCAAAAACATGTGCATAATTAAAATGGCAGAGAAAGAAGTGCCAACTTGAACTTGCCGGTTTGCGTGCAGCACAAGTTATTTGTGTGAAAATTTTCGTACATGGATGTTAATATGCAAAAAAACAGATGACAAATCTGGAATAAATTTTTTTAACACAACGACAATGAAAACTAATTTCTAATATTTGATTCATATTTTTTTATAAAAACCTCTATATTCTTATAATTCACAGTTATAATACAATCAAGTCGCCAAAGTCATTTATTGACTGTTTAAGCTACCATCAAGATGGCGTGGCGCTTTAAAGCATCAAAATACAAGAATGCCGCACCGATCGTTCCCAAGCCGGAGGCCTGCATACGTGACATCTGTGTCGGATCGTATCAGACCTTCGGCAATAATATAGCAGCTTCAGCCGCTTTTATGGCCTTCAATTGGGAACACACGGGTTCGAGCGTTGCTGTCTTACCGTTAGACGATTGTGGGCGCAAAAGTAAAACAATGCCATTGTTACATGGTCATACAGATACTGTGACTGATTTGGAATTCTCACCCTTTCACGATGGACTTTTGGCAACGGCCTCACAAGATTGTCTCGTTAAAATCTGGCATATACCAGAAAAGGGCTTGGAGGCATCACTTTCTGATCCGGAATGTGTGTTTTCACACAAGCAACGTCGTGTTGAGACTGTTGGTTTTCATCCGACTGCTGATGGTTTGCTACACTCCACCGCTGTCGGTTGTGTGACACTCTTCGATATAACAACACAAAAGGAAATTTTCTGTAAGTGTTGAATGCCGCAGTTATTTTTGTGTTTAGTAAATTATTTTTAAATCTGTTTTTTTTGTTTTTGTAGCTAATAATGAACATCCCGAGGTCATACAGTCGGTAAGCTGGAAACAGGATGGCACAACACTTGCTACTAGCTGCAAGGATAAGAATGTGCGCATATTAGATCCACGCATCGCTGACGCGCCCATACAAATGGTCGCAGAGTCGCATCAGAGTATTAAGGATTCACGTGTCGTTTGGTTGGGCAACCAGACACGTATACTGACCACCGGTTTTGATTCGGCACGTCTGCGTCAGGTTATCATACGAGATTTGCGTAACTTTTCAGTGCCAGAGAAGACATTGGAGCTCGATTGTTCCACCGGTATACTTATGCCACTGTTCGATGCCGATACAAATATGTTATTCCTTGCTGGAAAGGGTGACACAACTATTAATTATTTGGAAGTTAGCGACAAAGATCCCTACCTGACAGAAGGTCTACGTCACACCGGCGAACAGACTAAAGGTGCTTGTTTGGTGCCAAAGCGCGCGCTTAAAGTAATGGAGGGCGAAGTGAATCGTGTGCTGCAGTTAACTTCCAACATGGTTATACCGATTATGTACCAGGTGCCACGCAAGGTAGCTTTTATGCTTAGCATACCGTAAAGTGTTTAACATTTCTTAATAAATGTTTCTTATATCGCCGCAGACTTATCGCGATTTCCACAGCGATCTGTACCCGGAAACCACGGGCTATAAGACAGAACTTATGGCCAGCGAATGGTTCGGTGGCACCAATATGCCTGTGCCAAAGATGAGTTTGGATCCCGCAAAGCGTGAATTGGGCGACTTACCAATAATTGTAAGTAAATATAGTGCTCTAACGGTTATATATGTAATTTTATAACAATTACATACATACATACACAATTCGATTTTCCACTATGCATTTAACTCTTCTCTGTGTCCACCATTCGTACTCATTTTTTATGTCTTGTTTCCAATCTCTATTTCTATCTACAAACATTTAAATTAATTGAATATAATCAAACGCCATATCGGACACTACCTTTACCATTAGGTACATCGTGGTAATTTGAGTGATTTAATTAAAAATATAGAAAATAAAAAAGTATGCAACAAAACACCAACCCTGAAATCGCCTAACAATGCGATGGTCTCAAGTAATGTGTTGCAACAACAACGCAACGGTAATGGCAACAAACATTTCACAATGAAAACAAGCATAGAAAATGAAAAGGATGACAGCGAAAAAGCGCGTTTGCACGACAACAATGCCAGCGAAACGGAATTAGCCGAGGAGCAAGTTGGTACCGTCGGATTTACTAAATCCGAATTGTTACGTAAATTCGATAACAAATATAAAACTGATTCAGAGAAGGATGGCAAAGACATGGAATTGATGCGGCGCTTTAGTCGCGAATCACCCGCTGATGAGTCAACAGGCAGCAGTGAGGATGCCTCAATTGCAAATGCGCCAGACTTGTCATCGCCGCAGCAGCAACAGCGTGAACGCGAGGGCAGTAGCGGCAGCGTTGGTAGCGGTGTAACTTCTCCACCCCGTCCGATGCCGCGTACTTCGCGTAATAATTCTCTAGGCGATGCAGCCACAACTGCTGCACTAGCAAGTGGTGGTAGTGGTGATGAGGTTATGCCACGACCACGTCCACGCACCACGGCTGCAGCCGCTTACAAGGTGTGCAGGTTTTTTTTTTTTGCTGTAAAGAATATAACATAATTTATTATCACACGGATCAGACCGAAGTGCAGAGTGGTAATAAGAGAGAAAGCAAGAGCGAAAGAAATTTTGCGGAGAGAAAGAGAGAAAATGCAAGTGAGGTAGGGAGCATAAAAGGCGGGGAAAAGTAAGGTTAATTACAAATAAAAAATGTTAGTTTTTGTTGTAGCAGCACTAAATTCCCAAAACCTGTGAGGGTTACAAATACCTGTATGTGTTGTGTTTAAATTTTGTACGAAAAGTTAAACTTTTTTAAAACTGTGAGAGTAAAGTAAGACTTGCAGTGAGTCTAAAAGTGTAAGTAAGTGTCTAAAAGTTTCATAAAAATAGAAATACAAGGGGCACGAGCAGTTTTTTGTGTTGTTAACACTAATTTGATTAAATTATAATTGCTTGTTGTTGGCGTCCACGACTCTCAATCCGTCTCGAAATTTGTATGTGTTATGTTTCAACTATTTAATTTTTCATGTTATGTATATGATTTTGTAGAATGTTTTCAGCTTAACAACAAAAAATACTTCCAAATAGTTTTTAGAGACTAGTCAATTGTCGAATGTAAACTTAGATCGTACCGGCTACATATAGTGGCTCACTTGACTCTCTACTCTATTGTAACTGCACTTCCGTCTGAAGAAGTTTGTAGTCTTGAACCTGATTATTGCTATAATTTCTGTTATTTTGACATGTTCAGTTCTGCAATTACGTTTTGTGTCGCTGTTGCACTTTTTTTTTTTTTATGATTTTGTTGTTGTTATATTCGCACATGCACCAGTACCAGTGTTTCCACTTGTTGTTTGATTATCCACTCATTTGTTGTTGTTTCTTTTTCAATATATGGTGGTCTATTTGTTTGCTGTGAATTTTCATCTGTCCTAATTTCCACGTTCGTTTCTTCTTTACTTTTTGTTTCTTTCATTTTTTCATTGTCACCTTTGTCACGTTTTTTTTTTTTTTGTTTTTGATTCCAACAAAACTTGCCACAACCACTGGGAAGCAATATTAAATTATACATAAATTTCATATAATTTTTGTTATGTTTTCGTTCACCCAGCCACGCCTTGGACCCAAGCCATTTTCCAGTAATTCCGGCGATGTTTCGTTCGATAAAGTCTTCGCTGTGCCAGTCGCACCTGGCTCTCAGGAAAATATACATCATGCTTCTACAGTCGGTTCGGCTGATAATGGTGGCGATAGCTTTGTTGCGCCAGCACCAGCTGCCCCAGTAGTAGCGGCCACAACACAAAACAAGCCCGATTTGATTGTGGAGATCGAAATTAAAAGTGAGTGGAAGAATTTTTATTTCCTATTTTTTACTAATTTTTTTTATTATTATTTTTCAACAGAACCCAATGCTGATAACGCCGGCGACAGCAGCGTGCAGAAATCTCTGTCGACCTCCGAGCGTCGCAAGGTATGCCAAAAGTTATTAAAGTCTAATAAAATTATTGCAAAATCCTCAATTTATTGCTTACGACTTATTAACCAAATTGAAATTAATGTATAAACTTTAAAAACTAACTCTGTACTAACTAATTTTAAATGCGCTAACCTAATTAATTCTTTCCTTCAATTGCTAACCATATTTCGGCAACAAACATATACACACACTCACTCACTACAACACAGTCCTCGGCTGATGCTGATGAATCGCCCGATAAGGTTACTGCTTTTTACCTATCTTTGTCGATTTGATTTATTTTTTATATAGAAAGGAAACTAAATTTTAAACGTTTTTTATTTAGATTTTCGAGCAAACACATTCGGAGTCTTCGGAGAACTCTACGGAAGGTGATGATAAACCTGATGCGGAATTGCGTCGTTTCTCGGCTGCACGCAACAGTATTGCCGAAAGGCGGCGCTTGTATGAGAGCCGTTCGAAGAGCACGGTCGAGGAGAAATCGCAATCGCCAGTGCCATTGTAAGTACGAGTTCAACACGAAGAATTTAATTGGATAGATGACCTTAGATTTGTCATAACAATAAATTCGCTAATTTCTATTGATTTTTAAACCCTGAAAAAGGTATATTAAGTTTTGGAGACCTTTTAATTTAATTTTGCGCATGTCCTTTTCTCCCCAATAAGTTGCTCATTTGTAGGGGCCGCCGATATCAGACCACTATAGCATATAGCTGCCATACAAACTGATCGACCAAAGACAAGTTCTTTACTTTTTTATTTGTGAATAGTATTTTACCTTCAGTGCAACCGAAGTTAACGTTCTTTATTGGTTTTTTATACTCTCGCAACCTGTTGCTACAGAGTATAATAGTTTTGTTCACCTAACGGTTGTTTGTATCACCTAAAACTAATCGAGTTAGATATATGGTTATGTATATATAAATGATCAGGATGAAGAGACGAGTTGAAATCCGGGTGACTGTCTGTCCGTCCGTCCGTCCGTGCAAGCTCTAACTTGAGTAAAAATTGAGATATCTTTATGAAACTTGGTAGACATGTTTCTTGGTACCGTGAGACGGTTGGTATTGCAGATGGGCGTAATCGGACCACTGCCACGCCCACAAAACGCCATTAATCAAAAACAAATAACTTGCCATAACTAAGCTCCGCAATAAGATACAAGACTGTTATTTGGTACACAAGATCACATTAGGGAGGGGCATCTGCAGTTAAAATTTTTTTTTAAAAAGTGGGCGTGGTCCCGCCTCTAATAGGTTTAATGTGCATATCTCCTAAACCGCTAATGCTATAATAACAAAATTCACTGGAAGCAAATGTTTCTAGCACTTCTATTGACGGTATGAAAATAGTTGAAATCGGGTGGCAACTCCGCCCACTCCCCATATAACGGTACTGTTAAAAACTACTAAAAGCGCGATAAATCAAGCACTAAACACGCCAGAGACATTAAATTTTATCTCTGGGATGGTATGAGATGACTCTATAGGAACCGCGTTCAAAATTAGACATTGGGCGTGGCACAGCCCACTTTTAGGTGAAAACCCATATTTTGGGATCTGCTTAACCGATTTCAACCAAATTCGGTGCATAATGTTCTTTTCATGTTTCTATGTCATAGTGCGAAAATGGGCGAAATCGGACTACAACCACGCCTACTTCCCATGTAACACCATTTTCAATTCCATCTGATTCTTTCACTTTCCACTATGCAAATCAGGTAACAATGATTATATCGGGGTAAAACTTTGCGTGAATAATGCAATTAAAGTATGCCACCTTGCGCCCAAAAATTGTCTAAATCGAACCAAAACTGTTCAAACCCCTAAGTACTAAATATGTGGACCCCAGTGCCTATAGTTGACCTTCTACCGAAAATATCAGTCAATCCACAAAGAAATCTCAAACGAGTATACCATTTGACTTTGCGAGAGTATAAAATGTTCGGTTACATCCGAACTTAGCCCTTCCTTACTTGTTATTTATTTATTTTTTCAACAAACGGGTTTTTTGACTCGGTTTTTAGGCGTCGTGAACTCTCCAAGGGCGAACCGTTTAAACCACAACAACAGGCCAATTTGGTCACACCAACAGCCGATGTAAAACGTATTTCTGCACCGGAGGGTAAGCACTTAGAAGAGCGTCGTCGCAATGTCACAACCAGTGTGGATGGTGGTGCTGCCATTAAGAAGTCAGCAACTGAAGCGGCAATAACCACCACACACAAACGCACCTCGACTGTTTTCGGCAAAGTTTCGAAATTCCGTCATCTAAAAGGTACGACCGGTCACAAATCCACACACATTGAGAATCTGCGCAATCTTAGTCGTCAGATACCGGGTGAATGTAACGGCTTTCATGCTAATCACGAACGTGTCGCTGTACCCTTATCGGGTCCTGGCGGTAAAATAGCCATATTCGAGTTAAGTCGTCCGGGTCGTCTACCCGACGGTGTTATACCATCATTGGTTAATGGTAGCAACATAATGGATTTCCAATGGGATCCTTTCGATTCGTCACGTTTGGCTGTGGCCTGCGATGACGGCATTGTTAAATTGTGGCGCATACCAGAAGGTGGACTCAATGAGCCAACAAACACGCCGGAACGTGAACTTATTGCACATTTGGATAAGATTTACTTTATACGCTTTCATCCGTTAGCTGAAGATGTGCTCTTAACAGCCAGTTATGATATGACAATTAAATTATGGGATTTACGTACTTTGGAAGAGAAAATACAATTAACTGGTCACACCGATCAAATATTCGATTTGGCCTGGAGCCCTTGCGGTAAAATGGCCGCTACCGTGTGCAAAGATGGTAAATTGCGTGTCTACAATCCACGCAAGTCGGAGACACCCATACGCGAAGGCAACGGTCCGGTGGGTACGCGTGGAGCGCGTATCACTTGGGCGCTGGAGGGTCAATATATCGTCTGCACTGGCTTTGATAAGTGAGTAAAAGCATGAATTTATTTACATACATATATTGTATTTTTATAAACTATAATCTCTAATATATTATTTTGCTTTTATTTGTAGAGTTTCTGAGCGCCAGATAAGCGTTTACAATGCACAAAAGCTGAATGCACCACTGAATATGGCCAGTCTGGATGTCTCACCATCCATACTGATACCTTACTATGATGAGGACAGTTCGACATTGTTTGTGACGGGCAAAGGTGACTCGACCATTTACTGTTATGAGATTACGGATGAGGAGCCATACATTTGTCCTCTATCGCATCATCGTTGCACATCACTGCATCAAGGTTTGAGTTTTCTCACCAAAAATCATTGTGACGTCGCGAGTGTGGAATTTTCGAAAGCGTACAGACTAACTAACACGACTATTGAACCGCTGAGTTTCACTGTGCCACGCATTAAGGTATGTGTTAAAGACCTTGCTTAGCAGCACACTAGTAGTATGTGTACTTACACGCCTCTTTCTTTTAGAGCGAACTATTTCAAGACGATCTCTTTCCGCCAACACGCGTCACATGGAAGCCCACAATGTCTGCGGATGAATGGTTTGCATGCAACGATAGGAAAGCGACTAAGTTCAGTTTGCAGCCTGAAGGCATGGAAGCTTGTAAGTGTTCTTCGAAATTATATAATATTCACTTAGGGAGTACGTGTATTGATCTTTGCCAAACTTATTGATTCTTTCTTTCAAGTATCATCCATTCAGCAAGTCGCCCCCGCTAAGAAGATAGAGCATGCGGGCAATGGCAGTAGTGGCGGCGCAATGACTCGAGCGGAATTCGAGAAGAATAAGCAACAAGAGGTAATTGCTATATAAACTACTTTAACAACAATATTGACATTTCTCTCTCTCTCTCTCTTCCAGATTCAAAAGTCAGTGAGCGCCCGCTTGGAGTACAACACCAAACTGGAGCAGGACGACATGGAAGGTGTGGATGAAAATGAGTGGCAAGAGGATTAAACGATTTTGTCACAAGTAAAATAAGCAAAAGCAGCCAGTGTGTAACTAAGCGCTGGCATTTAGCAGTATATTATATTAAGTTAATGTTTATGAGCGTAAATGAGTATGAAGCGGGCATACCATTAGATAACTTTTATATGTATGCAAAGCCATACAGACAAAAATATATATTTTTTAAATATATTTAGAAACTATATTCGTTTTCACAGTAGATTCTCATTCAGTACATTCGAAGCATTTATAATTACAAGCAATAGTATAACAGTTATATAATTATGCTGAGAAAAAATTTTATAATATCACTTCCAATAGGAATTGCTAACATATTCGAAAAAGTCAATCAGTAAATATTTGAGATATTTGATAATTAAAAACTAAACACTTCCAGGGACCAAATTTACATTACAATACAAAAAGAACAAAGGTATATAACGCAAAAGACTGCATATAAACGTATTTTAGTTAGTTGGAAAATATTTATGTGTACCGTAAACTTCCTTTTTTATTATAAACTAAATTTATAATTAAAGAAATTTATACATATTTTAATTAATACTCAAGATTTGCCAAAAAGAAATATGAACATGAACTCGATATTAGCATACCACAAGAAAAATTAACTATTAAATATTTTTTTTAATGATATATAAAGCGTTGTTTACTAAAAAAAAAAGCGTAATATGTTAAGCTGAAATTTGAGGTTATAAATGTGAATTTTTTTTTATTTACGACTTAACGCAAAATTGTATAAGACATTCGCCAAACGCATTTAGTTTTATTTGAAGGAAAGTGTCTAATTAAAATTGTTGCCATATGACATGCAAATTCCTCTTGATTATTTGCAAATATTTAATGACCTTATAATTAAATTGATATTTATATACATGTATGTGTAGTTGATATACTGTGAAATATGCATACGTACATACCGTAATTAAGGCATACAAATTTATGTAATCTATTTTATAACTGATAACTAATGGATAAACTAATGAAATCATTATTATTATGATGATGATGATTATTATTATAATGACAAAGCTGATGTGACAACTTTTTTCTCTTTAACATACACATATGTATTTATGTTTATTATCTTTTATAATTAACTGTAAATTAATAATTTATAATAACATAAACTACAAAAACATAACAACTTATGTTACAAAGAAAACTTTTGCTCTCTAGTCTTCGGGTAAAGAATACATATATACATATATTTTTGTTTTGTTTTTGGAAATTTAAAAACTTTCTGCTGCACTACTCGTAAATACTACCTTCAAACAATCAAGCGATAAATGAACCGTTCAATATGCAACTTTCAGCTGCAACATTACTTGTTTGCAATATTATAAGGGCATTGCACTACATAAAGGAAGGGGAGAGAAAATAGACATATAATAGTTGAAATACAGAGTACTTTTTAATTATTATTATTTTTTTTAATTTTTTTAAATTTTTTTCTTAATTATTATTATTATATTAATATATTTATATTTATTTTTTTTAAATTTATTTTTTATTTATTATTTTTATTTATTTTTTATTTATTATTTTTGTTTTATTTATGATTTTTTTTTATTTATTTATTATTTTTATGTTTTTTTAATTTTTTTTTTATTTTTTTAAATTTTTTTTTTATTTTTTTTAATTTATTTTTTTTTAATTTTATTTTATTTTATTTTATTTTTTTTTTTACGGGATATTTGCAAAGATAAACTATTACCAATAACAGTATATCCACATATTCATACAACAGAAAATTCTTCCTGCTCAACATAATCTCTAAATGTACTGCGCAATGCCCTATACAATATTGCTCAATATAATAAGTTAATGTTGTCGCTGTGAAAGCAATACTAAAATACATATTAAAAAAAAAAACCAATCGCTGCATAACGAAAAGACTTCAATAAAATATTGCCATAATGTTTACATAAATTTTTATACCAGAAAAAATATTACAAATTAAAAAGTATTTTGAAAATCTAAGAAGTATTTACACTTATTGAGAATTCAGAAAATAACGTTTACCGTAACAAGTGAATAATAATATTACAATAAAAGTGTCACACATATAGATACATATTAAAGCAACAACTCAGGCCCACAATATTGGTGCTGGTCGTCGTTCTTACGCAACTTATCGAATAAATAAGTAAAATAAATACGTTTACTAAACTTTTAACGACAACAACCGCATACATGCACATTTATAAACAAGCAATGTTCGATATCAGCTACAATTTAAGACACACAACCCTACATACATACACCAGTAATGATATATTGATCGCCCATAAGCTAACGACAATTAAAAAAAAACAACACCAGTAGTTTTAGTATAACAACAATAAATACACAATATTTACAACCGCGCCCCCTCCGCCCCGATCGACTCAATAATACTAATACTAATAAATAGTAATCGTAAAATTAAGTAAACAAAACCTAAATTTGACATTTGCAGTCGTTGCAGACGATTAATTTTGCTCACACAATGTTTTGCAATTATTTTTGATATTATGTAAAAAAATGTAGGATAATAATTTTAATATTCATATTCTAATATAATGGGTATTTAAATATTTTTTTTAGTATTTTTTTTTTAAATATTATTTTTGTATATTTGATTTTTTTTATAGTTAAAAAAATTTTTTTTTAAATTATTTTTTTTAAATATTTTTATTTTTTTTTTTAAATTTTTTAAATATTTTTATTTTTAATTTTTTTTTTAAATATTTTTATTTTTAATTTTTTTTTAAATATATTTTTTTTAATATTCGTCTTTTCGTTACAATTACATATTAAATAAACGAGATTTAAAAAAACTGCAATAAATTCATTTCAAAAAATTCGTTTTGAAACAAAAGAGCAGATTCATCACATAAAAGATAAAAAGTAAACACAATATTTACTAAGCATATTAATAATAATATTTTATAATATCAATATTAATTTTTGAGTATTAAGTAATAATAAAATAAATATATTTATATATCCAAAAGCAAACATGTTTTAATTGCGAAAACCAATAATTAATAATGAATAATTTGGTTGAGATGAAAATAAAAATAGAACAAAAAAGCAGAGAGTTTGAGACTATGTGGACCTCATTAATGTTTTGGTTGCGAGAAATAAATAAATAAGCCAATAATTTGCGACTGAGTGCGCCGAATCCTTCGTGCAATGTCTGCAGGGTATTATGGATACACAACTGATTATAGAAAATCTGGCATGCTGGTCACCCTGTATATTCTTATGTTCTCCAAGTAACGGTTGGTGCAAAAATTGGCTAATGTTTATTTTTTTTTTTGAAAAGTCGTATAGGAAAAGTTTTATTTGGATTATTTAATCAATTTAAAACAATGGTGCACATGCGAAATATATTCCGCGCCTGCTAATATGCAGACAAGCTGCTACATGCTAAACAACCGTAGAGGAAGCTGGCCAGCCGTACTATACCAAGACGCTCAAGTAAACTACATATTTAAAATTACTACATTATATATATATTTGTATTAAACTTTTGCACATTTACATACATCATTAACATCTAAATGATTTATTTTTTGTGCTCGTCCATTTCAAACACATTTCCAATAATATATATTCTAAAAAAGATTCATTTTATATAATTTTATAACTCTTACTTTAATGCTAAAATAGATTTCGTTTGCACAAATATGCGGCGTAATAAGTTTCAAGCATAAACTGCGGTTATTAATCACAGACTCGAATGCATTTCTTTTAAACCTGTATTACTGCCGTTCATATTCCCTTTGTTGACTTTATAAACTTAGCACTAAAATCTATTTGGCCTTTTTTTATAATCACTATTTACACTTACATAATCTAAATTATTAATCAATTAATATATAATAAATGTATACATATTTATACTATATATGCATAACTATAATTTATGATGAATTTTATACATTATGATTGTATAATTACTAAAATTATTAAAGACTAACGTAAATTAAAAGACTGATGTGCAAGTCTCAAATATGATCTCTACCATTGTATTGTGCCGCTATGTGTGCTTTCGTGGCGAAAGAAATGTTAAAAGTGGGTGCTGCTTGTGGATGGTAGATTAGCTCCGGGGGCTAGCAATTCGGACGATAGTTGCCGCCTAAAGTACGATCTGTAGCGACAATTGTGGCGCCGGCAACATTAACTTGCTGTTGTTGTTGTTGCTGCTGCTGCTGCTGTTGTTGTTGAGCCGCAGCGATATGCGGTGTGGCGTTTATAAATATATTTGCAGCACCAGCATTTGCATTATGAAGTTGTTGTTGCTGCTGCTGCTGTTGAACGTGATGCTGTTGAGCTTGCACTTGGGCCGCGGTTACATTGTGAGAGGTAGTGACTGGGGAATTGGTGGCGGTGTTTAGCTGCAGTAGCTGCTGTGTTGCGGGTTGTTGCATTTGTAAACGCAATAAATTCAATTGATTAGCGTTGATAGCGATCTAAGAATAAACAGAAATAGTTATGGTGCTGAAATGAAATATGCGATATGCATTCAACTTACGGGCACGTTGGTCAATTCGCCTGTTGGTGTTACCACCTGCTGCAGCAGTTGTATTTGTGGTTGTTGTTGGTGCTGTTGATGTTGCGCCAAATTTTGTAAAATTGTCGCTTGCTGGTGCTGCGCAGGATTGGCTGGCGCCGGTGTGGCAGTGAATTGTCCATTCGGTCCTGCTGTCAATATAAGCTGTTGTGGTTGCTAATGATCGAAAGACATATTTATAAGTGAAATTTGCTATTATCTTTACTTGAAACTAAATGTATTCACTTACATGAGTTGTTATAAAATACTGCGGTTGCGCCGGCTGCTGTATGATTTGCAGTTGTTGCTGCGGCGCCGCATTTTGTCCATGTGCTGCATTTAAAGCCTCCGGCGTGGCAATAAAGTACTGCATTTGCTGTGGTTGTGTCGCGGATGGTTGCTGTATTATTTGTAATTGTTGTGGTGCATGCATAGTGGTATGCGTTTGCTGTGTCTGTTGTGGTTGGGCAGTCGCTGCGGCCAATGTATCGGCATTAAGCGCGCCAAAAGTCAACACTTCACCTTCCGCTGTTTCCATCTTAACGGGCAAAGTCACGGTGCCTGCAGTCATGACAGCATTTGCTCCAGCTGTAGTTGATGAATTATTTACCGTGTTCACATTAGTACTCTGTTGCTGCGTGTCCTTTTTCTGGCCACTACTCGTGCTGGGTTTTATATCTTCTCGCGGCACAATATCAATCAGAAAATCAAATTGATCATAATTAGCTATGGCTTGTGCAATATCTGATCGTTGCAGTGTGCGTCGTTTGCTTTCTTCAGTATGTATCCAGGCACGCATTGTAAGCTCTTGTATGAAATACTCACATGCTTTGGCAAAGAGGAGTGGCGCTTCGGCCGCTATCATCTTTGCATTTTCATCTAATTTCATAATTTTTTTAATCCGTGCTAGCGGTAGTGCTTGATGTTTGGCATCTACTTGATTTATCGCTCGCACATCCGCCATAATGTTCTGCCAGAAGTTGTCAATGGTGGGTGGGGGTTTGCGTACAGCAGCCGTGCGCTGTGTTTTCGGTGATTGCTTTTCTTTGGGATTATTGGCGACACTACTGCTTGATACTACCACATCACCCGATATGCTATATGTTGCAGATGATATGATATGTGTGGTATTTATTTGATTATTGCTACTACCATGCCGACCACCACTGGTAGTGGCAGCTACGGACACAGAGCCGCCACTACTACTCGGCGTGTTGGAGTAGGAGTGCGACATTATTTTAACTGATATTTATACACTGCACTGTGTTTAATGTAATGGTGTAATATTTTACACGTTCTTAATGACAAATGTGCAAAAAAATGTGAATAAAATAATTTTTGGCGTCAAACTTGTCACTGTTGTGTTCCACTTTTTTATTGGTTTCACTATGCTTCCTCTTCCTAATTTAGTCAATCACATCTAAATCTTCACCGCGACCAGCGTAATCGATAAACAGAAATCGATAAACTTAAAAATTAAAATTTTGGAAGTATACGTTTTTTTGTTGTAACATCAAAAAGGAAATATTTATGCAGAATTAATGTACTGTTTGCACAATATTGATTCAAAAATGAAGCGTAACATACTCTGAAAAGCCGAAATTGTTTTTTATATTCTACAAGACATTTACATGTATTTGTTTCAATTTGCATCATTGTGAATACTTCATATCTGTTATCAATGGAAATGACAACTCGCCAACAGCCGGCTTTATTTTCTTGTTTGTTGGCAAAGTAGAAACAAACCGCCTGAATTTTGTGCTATTAGCAGCTGCAAGGATGGAGGTACATTTTTGGAAAATTTTCGCTCTATCCAGCGCAGTTAAAATATTGCTAATTCCTTCACCGTAAGTCAAATTCAAAGGGCAACCAATATAAAACATCAATGTACTATAAAAACAACTCGATCTTAGTCACTCCACAGATTTCGAAGTGCACCGCAATTGGTTGGCCATAACGCATTCATTACCCATTAGTAAATGGTATTATGAAAATACTAGCAATTGGACGCTAGACTATCCACCATTTTTTGCATATTTTGAATGGCTGCTAGCTTATCCCGCGTCCTTTGTGGATACGCAAATGGTAGTTCTAACAAACCTCAACTATGCTTCTACGGCTGCAATTTACTTTCAACGTTGCTCTGTGATTGTAATGGATCTATTGTTCGCTGTTGGAGTACGACGATGTCTACGGGCGTTAAAAATATCGCAATCTTCGCAAAAATCCTTTGCAGCGAAGATCTTACTTTTGTTTAATGTAGGATTGTTGTTTGTGGATCATATGCATTTCCAGTATAATGGTTTCTTATTTGGTATACTATTGCTGAGTATAAGTTTGCTGCTAGAGGAACGATATCTGCTATCAGCATTCACATTTGCCGCATTGCTGATGTTTAAGCATATATTTCTTTATATGGCGCCAGCTTTTGCAGTTTATCTGATCAAGTTTTATTGCCTCGATTCGAAGTGTGCTAGGAATGCAGTAATTTGTATTATTAAATTGGCAGTTGTCGGCTTAACACCTATTGTAGCGGCTTTCGGACCATTCTATAATCAGTTGGATCAGGTGCGAATTTATATCTTTCAAAAAGTACAACGAAATTATAGTTATGTACTTTTCAGGTATTTAGTCGCCTATTTCCCTTCAAACGTGGCTTGACACATGCTTATTGGGCGCCAAATTTCTGGGCGCTCTATAATACTGCCGACAAAGTTGCTGCCAAATTGCTACGCATTCCAAATTCAACTGGGCCTTCAACCACTTCTGGTCTTGTGCAAGAGTTTGAACCACAGTTCTTGCCTAACATAACGCCGCGCACCACATTTGTGCTGACGTTGCTCTTTATGTTGCCAATATTGATAAAACTCTTTTTCTACACGTCAAAAAGGTAGTGCACTCTTTGCTTGTTTAATTGCCCTTGTAATATGCCGCCTCAACATAATCCAATTCTTTTAATAGTGAATCAAAAGCTACATTTTTACGTGCCGTTGTTATCTGCTCTTGTTCTTCCTTCATGTTCGGCTGGCACGTCCATGAGAAGGCTATATTAATGTGCCTTATTCCACTGTGGTAAGCAGCTTTTTTGCATTTACATTGTCATTTCTACAGTTTTTCAACTTTTCAGCTTGCTTTTCGTACTCCACTCAACGGATGCCAAACACGCATACTGGTTAAGCATTTTTGGTTATTTCTCGCTATTTCCATTACTACACCAATCGTGCGTGTTGCTGCTGCGTTATGCTCTCTATCTGACCTATGTGGCTTTCATGTACGGACAATTGGCCAAACTGTATCCAAACGAGCGCCAAATCAAAATGCATATGCTAGAATATCTTTACATACTTGGTTGTGTATTGCTTCCCATATATGAACACAACATAAGTCCATTTTTACGTTTAGATAAAACACTGCCATTTTTACCGCTACTACTGACATCTCTTTACTGTGGTTTAGCTGTTACATACTTTTTCTTCCGTTATTATTTACATGCACTCACTATAAGTGCCAGTGCATCTTTTACATCTACAAATAATTTTAAGCCCAATACAAAAAGTACAAAAACCGTTAAAGCTAAAGATAAGTCAAAATCAAAGTTGTTCAAGTCAAAGTTGAAGGCGCAATAAAAGTAACTGTTGTATTGTAATTGCGTAGTGGCTTCCTTGTTTTTGTAACACAATACAACCAAGCGCTTGAGGCGCGCCTAGGATAACCACGCATCGGTCGAATGTTGGCATTGTCGTAAAGCCAATAAAGATTATTTTTGAAGAAGTAAGTTTTGCCATTGTTTAATGTCGCTGCTGCATCAATGTGGCTTGGAATGCCGGGCCAACGGCGCATAGGCTTCGGGTAGCCAATATCTAGCATTTTCAAGCGATCATTATAACGCCAAAATCTTTCACCAGCAAAAATATACGTTCGATTATTTTTTGCTGCAAGAAACAGGAAATATGCATTTATTTCGCTCGTAGCAGTGCCGTTATATAAACACAGAAACTTACGCCACAACATAACGGCGTCGATTTTGGGCATATAATCTATCAAATTTTCTATCGGAAGCGGGCTATTTTCGATGAGCGTTGGAAGCTTATCCTGTACGTAGCTAAAGACCCAATATTTGTCGCCTGGTACAGAGAAGGTAATATGCATTTTAATTACGCGTTAAATAACAATAAAGTACAGTTATAAATAAATAATTAATAAATACCTGTAAAAAATACGCCGGCGCCATCGTAGCGCTCATAAGCAGCATCGATACGCTTGACATCAGCCGGTAGAAATGGAAACGTTTCGTAAATGCTCAGCGGATAGCTACGGAAAGAAAACGTTTAAAAGTATATTTTTAAATGTTTCATTTTCATTGCTTGAAATACCCGTTCATAACGGTATAACGTGGCGTTAACTTGTAGACATATTCATTCTTGAAAACGTGTACCGTTCCATTTAGCACGCTCAAGGCATCGAAATGGCCGAGACAAATATTTGGTATCTTTGAAAGTTCGGGTTTTGGCCATAAAGTGGGTAGCGTTGGAATAGGGTGTGGTATATCTGTATTGCTTGTTGACAGTTCTATTAGTTTTGTGGTACTCGAAGCGAAGCGGCTCTGTAAAAAACAAAAAATACAAAAACTTAGTTTATTATTTACTGCATTAATTGCTATGGGTCCATAGCCGAATCGGTTGAGCATTAACACTAGTAGCGCAAAATTTCGAATAAAATAAAATGTCAGATTCAACTTCAGCAGTATAAATCTGAAATCAAGAATTTGAACTTTGCAACTGTTTTAATTTTAAGAACCACAGCATAGAGGGTCTGCTAATTGATTAGTCCTAAAATTACGACTAATTTTGTCGACGACGTAAAATAATACACCGAATAGACTACGAACGCAACTAATTTCAGATACGCACTGAACGCCATTCACACAGCAGTCAATAACAACTTCCCCGACTCCGTTACAGTGAATGTTGTACCTGGAGTAAATTCATTACCTATTGCAGATGAAAAGCTCGAGTTGTCTCCCGACTTTGAAGTGATCCTTGCGCAACTTCGTTCTGGATATTGTAACAGGTTAAACTCCGGTATCGACCTCAACATACAATATGTACCAAATATCAGTCCCCACGTGATTTTTAACACCCTAAACACCTTTTTGCATGCCCAATGAATCCCACTCATCACTTTTTGTTTAGGGCTCCTTAGTTGAACCCTAATTTGGGTTTAGATAACCGCTACAATAACAACGGAGGTCTGCGAGTCCGTACATATTGCAGTTGGGTCTTCCTATAACTAGTTAATGTATCTGTTCACGCTCTTTACTAGTTTTGAACTAAGCTTATGATTTACCTTCCCTAAATTGTTTAACTCCTACTTATCTCAGCTTCACATTATCTCCAACAGAGAATAACATTTTTTTCGCAGATCCAGAGTTTATCGCTCGGCTTCGACCTCCACAAACTTTGATTTAGAATATACTTTAATTGATTGTATCATGATAATTATTGAGACAATTTTTCAGCTAAACCAGTTTGCCTGCCACTTACGTACTTTATGTTGTTTTACGGTCTCGTAATCGTCATGAAAAGACGGCAATGTGATCTTAGTTGTCTGCTTGGATCTCTCTTCTTTCTTCACATGGAAAGTGGCAGTGGTTACCGCTAACTGCGGTTCTTCCGATGTATTTACAATATTCTCATCATCTTCCAAAACTTTAGTCACTGCAATGTCAAGCTCATTAAGAAATACTCCTCAATACTAAAAAAAAATCTTACGGTATATGGTATACATAGCTAAGGTGTCATCATAATCTAGTGTTGTACCCGCTCCAGGACCTTTATAGTATGGAAACATAATTGAATTGTAATTTGGCGAATGAGCCAATCCCAAACTGTGACCGATTTCGTGTGCTGCAACTGCGTAAAAGTCCACACCCGTCGCTAGAGTAGTGGAGTTTTCCTGCCAATTTTCGTCCTCATCAAAGTGTACATCACCGCCCCAAGAACCCATTTCATAGGGGTAGAAAGCATGTGCCAATATATTGCCAGGACCATCGAAAGCAAAACTGTGCAAAAAGTAGAACAAGCATGAAATTTTATTAACTGAAACTTAGATTATAGAATATTCTCTGTAGCACTTGTCTCCGTGATATCGTGTGCCAAAGTATATTATTATATCGGCATCGGTGTCATTAACGCGCTCGAAACGAAGACCACTATACCGTGCCCATAGCTCAAGAGCCCGTGCGATGTCACGCTCCACTTGAGGTTTTGGAATTTTGCGGGACCAATTGCTGATGCTGTGAATGATATTGAAAATTTAGAATTTATAATAACAGAGCTGCGCGTTGTAATGGTATTTGGTATTGTGTAGCAAAAACAGACATACTTGGTATCTAATTAGACTTCGAAGTTATTCTGTCTGCTCAGAAAGATCTGTGAGTTCTTGGTAATTGATCGACACGAAGTAACATATCAAGTTTAGGATACCGTCCCCAAAATTATTTGTAGATGGCTCCAAACCGTTTTATACTCCTATGTATGTACTTTCCATGGATATATGGGGGCAGCTTTATAAACATGAGCTCAGTTAAAATGAAGAAAGACTATAAGTTTTTGGTATTATATAAGGTGAGTGATAAAATTTGTTCAAACATTCAGTTTATTTTGTTTTATTTTGGGAAATGTAGTACGAACTGAACTGAGTTGTCAACGGGCGCGACTCTAAAAAGGAGCCATACCATAAAGGGGCGTGTTTATCGTCCGAAAAAAAAAACAGACCGAAATGAACGGCGACGGTAAGTAGTGAACGTAAAGAACTTGAGGCATTGTCAGACAGGTAGAGCATCAGATAATTGTATCAGAACGTACGGCGAAGTATCAACATTAGATTGAGATTGAGATAATATTAGTGGATTTTATAGAAAATACGAAGAACACAATCTCAAATAATAAAACTGACAAAAAACAGCAGACCTGTTTTTTCGAATTTGAAGCGGTTTCTGAGAGATGAAAAATTGTTATACCTAAACAGGGTATATTATTGTAAGTTTGGTACGAGCTGAGTACATTTAACCATGTCTGTCTGTCTCTCCGTCCGTCTGTAAATATGCGAATTAGTACCTCAGTTTTCGAGATAACGATCTGAAAATTTTCCTTTCCTTCTCAAGAACGGTTCCTCATTTGTAGGAACCTCGGACCTCCATAAAGCTGCAATACAAACTGACCGATCAAAAACTTTTTCTTGTATGAATTCTTTTGTGTTTGTGAAGAGTATTATAGCTGCGCTGCAATCGAAGTTAACGTTTTTCTTGAGTTTATTTATTCGAGTCAGTATATCTGACAACCATCTGATGATAGAAGCAAAAAATGGAGACAGTCTCTGCGATGTAACGACCAAATGCAGTAAAGTATTTGTGGTTTTATATTGTCTGTCGAGTGGCGAACTACGTAAGCCATTTCTTGAAGCATTAGATTTGGCCTTAGCAGTGGTTTTAATGCATCGAAGTTTAGTCACTCGCACTTTTAAACTTTGTACTTTCAGTCTTGACTTTGCTTTGCTTTTTACGGTTACACAAACACCACTACCACAGTTATTAGACATACTACTTACAGGTAACGTATACGCCGTTTCTTCCAGGTAGGCGCACCGACCACAAAACGTTTGCGGCGTACTCTAAAATCGCTTCCGGCTCGTGACTCACTCCTTCTGTCGCTGATGCTTTGCTCATAAGCGCGCTGTGTGCTGCTTGTGAGATAATAGGGAGTGCCTTCAATGTCAGGGACGCCGCAGCGTGGTTTACTGAAGAGCTTAAAAGTAAATAAAAACTAAAATTAACACATTGCTGATGCGGGCGCAAGAGTTTTAAGTGCCGTTAAGTTCAATGTGTCAACACACGCTTATCATTATCAGCACTAATTGCATGTTTTATGTTTGTGTAAATGATTCTTAGTCTTTTGTTTAGACTCCAACCTCCAACGTTTGATTGTCCAGCTCGCCCGTCTGATTGAGCGCTCCATATTTTTGTACATTCTTTATGGCTTCGATAATCGCCGACTCATGATAAAGTGATTCCGAATCGCTTGGATTGGTCTCCAAGTAGCCAAAGCGACGCATAAAACGCAACTAAAATTAGAATAACAATAGTTGACAATACAATTTGTTTTGGTTTTTTTTTATTGTTCTTATTCTTGTTTCGCATACAATTTCCGGTGGCGGCACTTCAATGTTCCGTTTTTCGCGCGCATCCGTTTCTTGCACAATTTCTTCAATCTTTGCTGTTGTTGCACTTATTGAATCTTGTATATTTGTATTTGCTGGTGCTTGCCGCGTCTTCGACGTTAGCGCTAAGCAAATAATCAGACAAAGCCAAAGTGACGTCATAATTTCGAAAATTATTAACACACTTTCTTTTACCGCTGCTCGCACGCACAGTTCCGCTCGGGGAGAGCAGATTTTCGCAACTGATTTAAGAGTGCGTCCACGCAGTCGGTCGGAGGGGCTATGCATTTACTTAGCGCTGTGCGCTTATCACCAAAGCGTGCGTAAAATATATACATATATATATTTTTTTATTGTTTATAAATGTGATGGCGTTGAACCAAGCTTGATATATGAGGCTTGACTTAACGGCGCAAGATAAGTGCTAGTGATGAGCGCTGTGTATTTGTTTTTAATCGTTATACAAGTAAATCGGGTGTTGCTAATCGAAGCTTCTAGAGTATCCAGTTCATAATATGGGGTACTATACATTTGATTTTCTCTGTCGTCAATTATTTTTTTTAATGCGACCTTTTTTTTTTTAATAAGCGAATTTCTCTGTAACTATCATTTTAAAGAATTTTAAAGAACAACTCCTTCCAAAAACTGATTTTTATTATTCATTATAGTAGCTATCGAAGGTGATAAATCGATTTTGTGATGTTCCAACTTTTCGTTACTATGTTTCTGGTACCAATCTTCGACTGTTTTAATACTGTATAAGGTCGGTCATTAACACTTTACTGCCTATAAATTTCATTCCAACTTTTCCATCTTTCCAAATTTTTTTTTTTTCCAACTTTCCTGAGAATTGGGAAAGTTTTCTCTGGCCCAGTTCCAGAGAATACGGTAAAATATCACCATCTTCCATCCTTAATTTTTCATCATTTTGAAGACAATTCACAATAAAAGACTTCGTCGCTGTATGCAAAAAACTGGAATAGTCGATTTTCACAAGCTTCTTTTGAGGCAAAATTTTCACAAAAAAAATTGCATTCGTAATACACAGGAACAAGTAGAAACCATAAATGTAGCGAGTAGCTATGGAAATACATATTATATTTGGCCTGGCGTTGTTCTGATGAAACATAATCTCTCTTCTATTGACCTAAGCTAGCCACATTTGGGCTATTGCTTCCTTCAGATGGTCCAATTGTTGACAGTACGGGTCTGAATTAAGCTTTTGGTCGTAAAGTAGATGATTTCTTGCCAAACCCACCAAATACATAGTAAAATCTACCTAAACATCAATGCTGGCTTGGTTATCGTTTGCGATGGCTCATCACAATTCGACAATGATAGATACCGCATGAAGTTGTTGTGAATGATTCACGATTAATCACTAGTAACCATCCATTTCAGAAATGGATCGATTTCGTTGCGATTCAGCAGCGATTCGAATATGGGAATTTATTCTATGAGTTTTTTTTTACGTAAAACGAAATCCAAATTGCGCGTGATTGTCTGAAACATAAAGAAAAACTGTAAAATATAGCTCTTAGCTGTGTCAAAAAACCTCAAAACTGTCTGAGAAGTTTTTTTAGTATGAATCTTATCCTGTCTAACGATATACGACGTGAGATATAGATTACTAAAGCGATCTATTAGAAAAATAATGAATCTCTTTTTACTAGACCTATAATATATATTAAGTATATCGCTAATCAGTGACCGAGAGAGAGAGGGGATCAGAGATCGGGGACAATTCGTTCCAGTCCCTGAGCTCTCAGAGCGACCCTGTGTTCTACAAAATTTTTTTGCGTATATTTTCTCTCCAATAATTGATGGATTAGGTAGGACGCATTCTTTATCCTCCCAGAGTACCGGTTTCCTCTCTACGTCCCTGCCTTTAATACACTATGCCAAATAAGAATGTACATGGTTGTTTGTGCGTGCTTCGGGTCATCTCCGAAATCGCAAATTTATTTTGAAAAGTTACCGTCTTTTCTGCTACTCCTCCTATACTCTCTTTTTTACCACCACATTTCTTCGCCATTGGGTAGAAAACAAAATATATATACTTTTTATTTGATGCAAACACAACAATTCATTATACATACATACATTTATACAATGCGTTTGTGTACATACATACATTTAACTATGATTATTTAGCTATAATATTTTACAAGCATTTCGTTAATATTTTATTTTATTTTAACATTACATTTTTTTTTCAACTTAATCGCTCATAAAATTTTTTACATATACATATCTTATATAACAGCTGCTGTTTATTTGTAAATAACATGTGTTTAACAAATATTTGCTCACTTTCATGACTCGGCTCGAACATATTTTTCCTGATGTTGCATACCTTTACTCCCATTATTCTTTATCCATTAACCCACTTTTCCAACCGCTTTGGTTTCCTCCTCATCTCAGTAATGATTGCGACGTTTGTTCGAGGGGCAATACTCGGCGTACTCCTCCCAAGTACAGCCGACCTTAGTGCAACACTCATTCGTAATCGAGGGCGCATCGGCGCGTCGTGTACGCAACAGCGTGTTGACATAATTCAATTTAAGCCAGGTGCGTGCGATGGCTAGAAAGACTTACAGTGTTAAAATTTCATCGTTATACTATATAATAATATAATATATATATTAAGATAAAAAAATTGGACTCATCACTCACGTTTGCTTCTTTTTTGCATTGCTTCGTCGTCCATACGTTTGCGATTGCGTCGTGTCAGCCGATAAATATCCTTCTCACAAGCCCAGAATAGTTGACGTATCAATTTGTCGCGACAGCGCGAGTGCGTCTCTTGATGCCAGACATTTTCCCAATCCGATTGTGATCTATAATAGTTCGAAAAAAAATTAATTTGTGTAATTAGCTTTTTTTGCGAAGAATTTTTAAATCGACAACGAACGGCCGATGGATTTTGTAAGAATTTTTTTCAGAGACTTATACAAAAGCTTGACGAAGGTATTTAACAAGAGTCCTGTCTTTGCCAGAAATTTTGATCAACTCGAGCAAAAATTAAATTATTTTTATACACTCTAGATCAAACTTGACTCGGCCGGGTCCATTTAAGTTGAGCGCGCAAGCCGAATGGATAAAAATTTAATTTTTTCCTTAAATTGGTACAATCTTTTTTTTTTTTCATGTAAAATTTGATTTTCATACGTCAATTTTTGTATATATGTTTGGCAGCTTTTTGTTTACCATGCAAACCGTTTGTCTGACGATTTTACCACGGAAAACAAGTTAATAACGCGTTCGCTTGAAATTTTGAGTTTCCAATGAAATCACCGCTACGGAATCGTTAAAAATGTTACAGAATTGTTTTTGGTAAGTCTACTTTATCGCGAACACAAGTATTTGAGTGGCACAAAGCATTCAGTGAAAGTCGTTAAGTCATCGAAAACTTGCCTCATGAGTGGCATCCATTCGCTTCTAATAATGATGATACCATCGAAAAAGTTAAAGAAACAATGCTTGACAATCATTGTGTTGGCATCAGAGAGATGTCTTAAGAATTCAACATCTTTTATCGATCGACTCGACACATTTTGGCTAATTTTTTGGGTATGAGGCGTGTCAATGCTAGACTCGTACCAAAAGATATGTATCTTTTGCAAAAACGAATGTTGAGTAGAGGTCGCAAAAGAGATGCTTGACAAGGTAGAGTGATGCATTACTGGTGACGAGACGTGGGTTTACGAATATTACATCGAAGTTATTAAATAATCTAGCCAATGGGGAACTAAATATGAGCCGAAGCCGAAAAAAACCACGACAAAGTCTGTCAAAAATCAAGGTGATGTTAATTTTTTTTTTTATTAACGTAGCGTGGTTCACCATCAATTCGTTCTACAGGGTCAAACAGTCAATAGGAAATACTACTTGGCCGTTTTAAGGTGCAAACCTAGCGCGTAATTTTAAAAAATTAATTTTTAAAAAATTTAAATTTAAAGATATTTAAAAACAAATATAACATAACAATAAAATTTAAAATCGATATCTCAAATAGTTTTTGAGTTACAGTCATTTAAAGGGTAGCCGCAAACTTCAATCAGCTCAATCAGTTTATCTTTAAATTCGTTTTTCTCGAAACAGCATTTTTTCAATTTGCTGAAGTGTTAACTCGAAGACAAATGATCCGATCCTCATGGCATTTTTTATTGCTATTCTATATATAAACCTACATACAGTGACCTATCGGTTTTTTGCTCTGAACCAAACTTCTCTAGTTTAACCAAAATTTTTTATTATTAGTTTTCATCCATGAAAAAGCCTGGAATCACTGAAGCAGTGGAGGAACTTTTTTTAGCGCCGTCGAAGATTTCGTATAACTCAAAAACTAATTATACAAAAATTTCTCTGTGAATTCTTGAAGTATGTATAATTATACCCTGAAATTTTCAAACCAATCGATACAGTAGTTTTTTTCTCCAAATTCCCAAAAAACAATCGACGCTTTTTTCGGCTATCACACTAGGTATGCCCCTTAAGGCACTACGAGAAGCAATTCGTTTTAAACGCTCGCATTTATGGATAAATTAATGAATTTTTCACCAGGTAATGCGTCGTCACATTCCAGCATGACGGTGACTCAACTTTTGGAAAAACACAAAACGAAAGTCAATGCTCAGCCACCGTCCATTAAAGCCATTTAAAGTCATACGCTGAAGGCCTAAACTTGCCTATTTTGCAGGTGATCATAAATATTTGTATTAAAATACGCGAAAATGTTTTTATTTTGTCAGTGCGGATCAAGCGTTTGATTAGATGGTAATATAATGATTTTCTCACAAATCTTACCTTTCTCGAAATAAGAGCTCCAAACCCTCTTCGGTGTGTATGGAGTCCACTTGTAAGAAATACAGTAACAAAAAGCATAGAAACAAACTGCTATTCAAAATACCGGGTGTTGGATTCATTGTTAAGCTACAACCGTGCGTTTGCCTGATTTAAATTAAACTACAATTTTAACGGGAAATCCAAAGTTCACAGATCAAGAAGCACAGTTGAGCACAATACAATTCACTACGCGGACACAAGCTACTCCAAATGAAGTGGAACTGCACAACTGGACGAGTCGACGGCAAGGCGTAAACTGATTTCCTAACAGGCAGTGCGACAGCGTTTTCAATTCTAACTCGCAACCCATAATCCGAGCGGTTAAGCCAAATGCGCAGGTTGTCTGAGATTTAAAACACCTGCAATTCGGTGCACGGGAGTTGCGGTGTGTGGGTGGCGGCGTTTCTATGCTGTGAGAACCATATGATATTTGAAATTACGACTTCAGAAGACACCTAGTTATCATAGTTGTTGTTGTTGCTGTTGTTAATGGTGTTGTTGTTGTTGAGTGCATGTTAATTTTGGCTTCGTTTATTTAATTTTATAGCTCTTTGTATTTCATTATACTTATGCGCAACCCAACGCTTACAAACACACACACACATACATATACATCGATACATATGTATGTATGTACTTATAAACATATGGCTTTTTGGCTTTCCACCGATCTAATGAAGACATATCTAACGCTGACACATGTACAATCCGGTGTATCTCTTTAATTCGGTTGTTCTTGTTGCTGTTGTTGTAGTGCGGTGTAAATTAGGCACTGATAGGGTTGTGTTCGGATGCTGACACTATTACATGTTCATATCCACCTATGTATGTACGTATGTGTGCGTGTGCACACTGTCGTCCATATGGCAAAGTGCAAGTAATGAATTCATTTCTTTTCCTCACGCGCAAATATATGCGAACGCGTACAAATATGCTCATACACCTACACACACACACACACACACGTGTGCGTTCGTATCTAAATATACTCAAATCATTTGTGGACCAACCTGTTGCGTATATTTGCGCCGTTTCATTGTTTTCTAATAAACACCGTAAAAATCTGACAGCACGAGCGTGTAAGCGTTGTTCATTAACTCCAAGCGTCGGCGGTGTAAATTATTGTAACGCAACCCTACAGGGATATTTTGCGATTGGGCAGCAAAAACTATGAAGTTCTCGACCGCAGATTTTACCAACAAATCTCGAACGGAATACAACCATTTTTGAAAGTAATGGTGGTTTGTTTCGCCAATACCGTTATCTATCGCTTCTTCATGCCTTAATGATTACTTTATTGTTTGAGTTATCTTCGATAAATCCTTGGGAATCCTTGAAAATGATCAGGAATCCGATTATCTCCGCAGGAGTGTACCAATCTGATGCTGAACTAGTTGCTGATTCTAGAAAATCTCTTCGGGTTTCAGTCTGGTGGTTTGTTATTAAGTTTTTGTGGATGCCTGAACAATTTGAAGCTCTGAAATTGTTGCTGTTTTAGTTGAAGTGTAAGAGTTTGCATTGTCGTGGTTTTCCTTTAGTATTCCGATTTCTTCTCTTCTGTGCCAATGCTGGTGTACTGTTAAAAATTGGCTGAAATTTGTACGAATTTGCCTTGCCTTAAAATCAATACAATAGATTTTTGTTCACTTTTGGTTTTATATGCAAATATCTGTGATCTATCGCCTGTGACGAAGTGCGACACATATGACTTCGGCAAACCGCAGAAACGAATTAATCGGCAGAACTATCGAAAATCATCACACGAAAGCACTCACGACTTAATTCTATTTTTTCTATCAAGGTGAGTACTTCAAGTAGTTCTGAATCGAATAACACTTGACTTAACTTGATTTGTATCAGAGATTTAGTGGTACTCCTCTTAAGGCGCCACGCACAGCTGATTTTCGATTATTTTATAGTTTTCTTCGATAAAAGCCTGATACTGTAACAGTTAATCACGCACAATTTTGATTTTTTTTGGATTTCGTTTCGGTATTTTGCTGTCAAACATGCACTACGCTCTGGTAGTCCAATTGTCGAAAAAGTCGATAAATAAATGGAAGTCGTCGAGTCCAATCAATATCTAAACATTGTTTTGTATTCCAGGAGATACACATTGCACAGAAATCCGTTTGGAACCATTTTAAAAAAGCTGGGTATAAAAAAACCTCGATACATGGGTCCCACACGAGTTAATAGAAGAAAATCTAATGGTTCAAGTTCCCATCTGCTGCTGTATCGCAATAAAATCGACTAATTTCTGAAGCCGATGAAAATGACAACTTCAAGCGAAAACGGCTAAGACCGTATTGACTGTCAGGAAGGGTTGCTATGTGTTTGGTGAGATTGGCTGGGAATTACCCATAAGACACTCCTCTACTACGGAAACAAGTCTCAATTTGGACCTGTACTGTTAATAATTGGGCCGTCTGAAGTAAGCCAGAGCCCAGAAGTCGATAGCTTTGGCCATAAGGAGAGAAATTATTTTCCATCAGGGCAACGCTAGTTCGCTCATCCACAGTGACAGAGTAGTCAGAAGCTTCGGGTGGGAGGTTCTAACGTATATACCTTATAGTCCGGTCCTGGCACCAATTGATTAGTACCTGCTCTTGTCTATGGCAAAACTAGATTTTTTTGACTACACCTTATATACTTTTCTAGCAATATAACAAAATCGTGTGCTTCGAAACACAAGATTTTCCTGGTTATATTACAAATTTATGTAAAAAATTGTTAAATGCCGGATGCGTTCTGGTTAGTTAGATCACTCTGTTTTATAAGCGTGTTTTAGGCAAGGACTTTGTAAAACATATTCACGTTTCATATTTGAAGTATTGGCTACAAGGAATCTACAGTCACTAACACACACTCAAATTATGTGGACTATCCGCTCACAACGACGTCAGCAACAAGCTGCAAGCTCATTAGCCAGCCAGCTTATATCCACGTACTCGTACATACTTGCTGTGGAATCTCTGTTTGCTTTTGAATTAACCTGTTTATAAATTCGCATAAATTGTACAATATTTGCACAGTTTCATTGTATTCTTTACGCACTCCCACACCTACAGCGCAGCTTGTTTATTATTTAGTTTAACAAAATGTATAGGAAATGCTAAAAAAAAAAATCCAGAAAATAAAGTATGAAACAACATTCATACTCATTCGCTTGCACTCGAAACACTCTAACGCGACCTGAAATGTACACACACACACACGCACGGGTTCAATTGGCCAATTTGTGCCACACAATGACGCACTTGATACTCCGGCCGTTTATTCGCTCCAGCACCTGCGCATCGGCTGCAGCCTTACAGCAGCTGAGCGCCATTTCAACTGCACAGCAAAAGCACTTTAGTGAGGTTATGTTTTCGTTTTTGCTGTTTACGCTTTTTTCAAATGTTTGTCTATGCCGTTAAATGTCAAACTTGTTGAACGTGACACCCTCGTGCAAATTGTTGCTCAAGCCGCTGGAGCACCTAAAGTGCCTTTTGTAACTCATATTGACATTTAACCTATTTGCATTTTGAATGATGGCTTTTGGAAATGCTTGTAAAAAATTTAAAATGCACTTCAGACTAATTGAAGAGTTATTGCAAATTTAAAATACTGTGAAAACAAAACTTTCACATTTTGGTGAAAGTTTATTAATTATTCAAAAATTTAGTGAATATTTTTGTAAAGGATTTTCAGCAATTTTGAAAAGCGTGCATCAATGCTTTTGTATATGGTATACATAAATATGTACAGGTTGGTTGAAAAGTTGGTTGGTCTTACTAAGAAATAACACTAGTAGCTCAACATTTTTTTTTTCTCAAAATGGTACATCTGTCGTGAGAACACATGCAAAGTTACAAGTCATTCCGTCACTTAACTTTTTGTTTATAAGCTATTTGAAGTTGATGTGTCAAAATATTTTTTTTAATATGAAAAAAATTTAATATTGCGCAGAGATTAGATTCGTTGTTTTGAAAGGTTTAAAAGCAAAATAAATGTATGAACAATTGTTTGAAGTGTATAAGGGGCCCTCACCTTCAAAACGCACCGCCGAATTTTCGTATGAATGTGAATGTGATGAACGTGAATTTAAACGGGGTCGTACTAGGCTTGAAGACGATGTACGCGAAGGACGACAAAAAACCGCAAACACACCAGAAATCATTGAGCAAGTTCATAATATTGTTAGTGCAGATCCAAATTTGACTAAGCGTGAAATTGCTAATGTCATAGGCATCTCAGACGAATGAGTACTTCATATTTTTCATGGAGAATCACATATGAAAAACTGTTTGTAAAGTTAGTGCCGCACACATTAACAATTCAACAAAAACTGGATCGAAAACAAATTTCGCAGCATAATTTGGAGAATTTTTAGCAGAATACAAACGATTTCTTGCGTCCTTTTATAACTATGGATGAGACTTGGATCGAACAATGGATGATCCTTAATTAAAATAAGAACGTTTGAAGTGGATTGAAGCTGGTTGTTCAGCTCCAAAGCAGTTGAAGTCACAACGATCAGCAAAGAGGGTTATGACATCAGTTTTTTGGGATGGAAAAGGAATTTCGTTGATTGATTATTTGCAGATAATTAAAACAATCAACTCTGTATATTATTGCAGCCTTTTGGATCAGCTGGATAAAAAAATTCGTCAGAAAAAAACTGGTTTCCAGCACAAAAAAAAAAAACATTTTTCATCAACATAATATACTTGCTCACAATGGTGTTTTAATAATGACAAAATTCAACGACTTCAAGTACGAATCGCTTGAGCACCCACCATATTCAACAGATTTGGCTTCCAGTGGCTACTACCTTTTCAGAAACCTGAAACAATCCTTACGTTAAAAGTGTCTTTCGTCGAATGGAGAAGCTATTACAGCCGTAGATGGGTATTTTGCAGAGCTACCAGAAAGTTATTATAGGGATGGCATAAAATTATTGGAGGATCATTGGAATAAGTGTATTGAAGTTAAGGGAGATTATATTGAATAAAAAAAAAAATTTCGTAACAATAACAGTATTTTTCATTTCGAGCGCAAACATTTTTTAACCAACCTGTATATATGTATAAGTATGAATGTAGTTGAATATGAGTATGTGAAAATGTGCAAATAAAAACGTGTTGCACCAGTTGTAAAAAAAGTTCACGAATTTCGCGTGAAATAGTTATCAGTAAAAACGTTTTTCCGTCATGTTATTAACCGTAATTTTCGCAACTGTTAAACATTTTGTATCAAACCAGTACAAAAGCTGTTTGTGGAAATCTATTAGAAACGATCAAGCTATGTTTGAAAAGATAAATAATATGTTGCTAGGAAATGTCAAGTCAAAATTTGAAAACTTTTTCCGGAAAAATGGAATTTAACATTTTTTTTTTTGGAAATTGATCAGTGTGTTACGTAAGGTTTTCTTCTACGTATTTAAGAGCAAAGTGTTGGAAAAGCTGCGTATTTTTTAAGGGCCACACCTAGTGCTTAGTTTCCAAATAGTTTGTTTTTTGCATATTTCGATAGTCTGTATGAATATAACATATTGAAATTTTTATTGAATATTTCAAATATATTTTGAGCTGCAGCTTTCTAAAATGTGTAAAGTCAATGTAGGCAATCAGCTTATCTTTAAAGTTGTAAAACGAAAACAAATCATTCGATCACTTTAATTTTTGCTGCTTATTTTGTATACCAATGCTGCTCTGTACTCTGACGGCGCCCAAAAATCTTCTAATTTTTGAAAAAATTTCGATATTTTTTTTGTAATTAGAAATTTTGTTAATTCAATTTACTTTAACAATTGTGGGTCTTATATAGGCAATGCCTTATATATAATATTAATACTCACTTTAATTTTTATTGTTTTGAGCTATGCTGCAGTAGCTTAAGACTTTTTGTTAGCCTGGAAAAAAGCGAGTACAATTCTTTTTTTGAAATTTTTTTCGTGTACAAGCATTAGTTATGTATAAATACGCGGTAAGTTCAAAAATTAACGGGAATTTCGAAATTAAAATTTTGCGTGTTTGGAGAGCATAATTGTCAATTTTTTCTTATTAAGTTGAGATACAACTGTGCTTGAAATAATAGCAGTGGTATAACCAGGAAATCAATCAATATTTGATTTTTATTTAAGCTCATTATTCATTTATTTAACTTGAAATAACATGAAGTGCTTTTTTAAAAAAATAAAAAAAAATTGTGTAAACAAATATTTCAGCTGTGTTTAATAATAGTGGTATTGAGTATTTTACATCACAAACGAATTAACTAAATATGTCAATATAAAATAAAGCTTGAAGAATTAGTACCTCGTCGAATGACCGTAGTTGGATAATAAAGCGACGCATCGGTTAGGCATGGAGTCCACTAAACGCCTATATTTGTCGAAAGGAATGGCCTTCCACGCCTCGTTTGACATTAATTAAAATTTTCGCATTTTAGTCAAAGTCTTTTAAATAATGTAACTATTTCCTTTGCACTGCTATTTTAAACCACATCAAAAAACAGTAAGGTAGCACAAAGAATAACGGGACTCCATGAATCTGATAACTATTACAAAAATCAATTTAAACACAGAGTGCCCATATTTGGGTCCTTGTTCTGGCATAGAAATAATTAAATGACAAGAATCAAGTAGTAAAAATAACATTATTTTGATTTCCAAAAGTCACTGCTATTATTTCGAACACAGTTGTACATGCCCATGAAGTACGTTGGTGTATTCATTGCTTACTTTGTCTGTAGCAGCGACTGAGGTTAGATATGTTGTTATGAGCTGGCGATTTTCGGTTGTTAAAAGCTTTTGCACTTTTTGCTTGTTCGTGAATTCTTGGCCAAAGCAATACTATAACGATGAGCCAGTTATAGACATGGCGCCGTTTGATTTTTTATTAAATATTTCTAAAAATAAATAGAACCTTAAAAGAGCCGCTGTTTTACAAGCATAGATGACTTTAAAAGCACATCGCTGAAAGCGCTAAAGGCTATCACAAAAATCGAGTTTGAGAAGTGTTTCGACGATTGTGAAAGCGCTGACATAAGTGCGTAATATTAAATAGAATAGAATTTTCAAAACGACAACTTTTTTTTTTCAAAGAACATAGCATCCCGTTATTTTTTGAACACAGATCTCATGCATTTTCCTTTAAAAAATTCCTAAAAATCACATTTTTTTGGCGGTCTCACTAAGTCTGCTTTTTTATGCTATTCAGCAGATGGAAGACGTTATGAGGTATAATCCGTATTTACTTAGGAAAACATTTTCTTTAATTTTTATTTTGCCATTTGGATTTCAAATCACTCACATGGTCTCGGTGATGGGTCATGACGGGTTAGCCCTCGATATTGGAGTTTCAACGTGTACTCGTATGATTTATACATTTAGATTAAGACGTTATTATATTTGTCTATACTAAGAACTTTGCTTATGATACTAAACAATTACTGTTTTTCATGCCATTTTGTCACTTATATCCCTATAGAATGACAGTACAAAACTTTTCAAAAAACTCTTGGCCTTACTTCATTCACAGAATGTATGACAATTTGTCTATTATTAACTCCCTTAAAGGGGTATTCTAATCTAGAGGCGCGAATTCAACGAATATAACGTTTATTATTAGTTATTTATTAATATTATAAGAATACACGAAAAAATAAAAAAGTTTAACATTTCAAAAACTAGAAGCTGATGAAATGGGGGTCTCAAAAAATTGGCACTTGACCATACCCACGATTTTAACCCTCCTAGAAATCTAAAAAAAAATTTTTAATCTAGAATTAGGTGACCATATTTATCCCGGCAAAATACGGGAGGTTTTTTTTAGTTATCGTTTTTTTCCATATTTTAATTCATTGAAAATCGCGACATATAATAGGTGAGAGAGCAGCACAATTTTATTCAATTCATTCTTTTTTTTTAATTTCTAAGCCCGGGACGGGCAGGAAGCTTAACTCGGAATCCGGACGAATGGTCACCTAAACCTACAGTTTTGACAAAAACGCGCTTAAAGTTTTACGTTAAAACTAAACCGGCCAAGTCACTAAAACGGCTATAACTATAAAAATAATTTGAATTTCGAAAAGTCCTTTTATTTAGATATTTTTGAATATCTAAATTGTCAAAATATGTATGAAAAAAGGCTAGATATTTTGAAATTTCTAGACCAGAATACCCTCTTAATACAGTAAGGGAAACACTATCCATGTATGCTAAGCAAAACAGGCAATGGTCACGACAAAGGTTATTTCTTTTAGTAAAGAGCTTAAAGCTAAAAAGAGACTTCTTCTTTTATCTAATACCGAATTCGTATTTTACCGACGTTTGTTTACATTTTAGGAAGGTGCCCAGCTCTGTCTGACCGAATGCTTCGGTAGTTTAAGTTGCTGCATTCGATTTCTTAACTACTTGAAAATCTGTTTTATTTGAAAACTATGTAGATTGCGCATTTGGCCCTCATAACTGGAATAAAAGCTAGAGGGCCAATAGTTGAAATAATGCTATGTTTAATAAACTTTCTGCCATATTATAAAAAATATTAGAAAAACTTTCCAGCTTTAAAAGTTATCAACAATCGTAAGGTATTAACGATGATAACTATAAAATTTACATTTTGACGCACCTCATTGTTTTATTGTATATACAAATATTAACATTACAAAAGTTATAGGAATAGCTTACCTGGTCTTTAAAGCTGCTCCGGCTTTAGAGCTTTTTTTCCATGATTTCTAAGATAATTTGGGTATATCTATAAGTGTTTATCTGAAGAGATGTCAGACAATTACTTTGATTTAGCAAATGTAAGTGCGAAGAACTCATGTAACGATGATTAAAAGCTTAATAGCTGGATATAATATAAGCTTTCTTTTAATTATCCATTTAGGTTTCCTAATCAACAAATTCCTTAATCAAATTTTATCATAGTGTTCTTAATACTGTTTTTAGTTTATATCTCATCATGGCTTATAGCACTGGTCTGACTGGTATAGTTAAGAATCTTAAAATTTTACTTTTTATCGAGTCGGAAATTCGATTTCAAAGAGTAACAAACGTTACTTTTTAAGAATTGTGATATATGTTATGCAACGAAAAAATTAACGCCTAAAGGTATGCTTCTGAGAAGCGCATACATTTAAGTACAACAGCAAGGTAGCATTAAAAATTAAAAACCCCTTTAAATAAATAAAACAATTATTTTTCTTTGTTTTGCAAAATATTTTTATTAATTAATTATTTTGAAAGAAAATTTCAACATTTTTAATATATATTTAATAATACCATTGCAACCTAAGCTTAAGTAACTTGATTCTGTTTACATTTCACACGTCTTCTACACAAATACACATATATGTACATATGTATATATATCTATATATGTAAATACACTTGTGTATGTATGTAAAATTTAAAAGTGATTGAAATTATTTTTATAACAATTGCAACACTATTATTTTAAATATACATTACTCAATTTCGTCTGTTTACAAAATACTTAAACTACAGAATAATTAACTTCACATATGTGTGCGTGTATATATGCATGTATGTATATGTGAAAGAAAAATAATACAAATTTGTAAAATGTCTTAATACTGCTAAATAGTTGCAAACTTTTATTTGAGAGAAATTTTTAATAAACAGTTTTAAATAGAAATATGTACATGTTATATACTAAGTATATAGCTTTTTATATATACATAAAATTTTTAGTATTTGTTTCCAAACAGTATTGTGCTTATTATTTATATATATATATATATTTTTTTTTTTTTATTTATTGAAAATAAAACTTAATTGTCTTTGTATTTTTTGTTTATATTGTATTTGTATATATTTATATAACATGTATAAAATATATATACATGTGGTATATACATAGTATATTCTTAAAAATATTTTTTAAAAATATACAATATTTTTCGATTTTCTTTTATTTCAATTCTCACTTTTTTCCAAAATTTTTAAATTTTTTAACGCGTCTTTACACTCGTTGCTTTTCGAAAAATTCCAATTCTATGTTTTTTTAAAAATAATTTTTTTTATTACTACCGAAATTTTTTACAATTTTGTTTTCTAAAATTTTTTATTTATATATAGCTTTATATACGCGTATCTGTTTTAAAAAATTCCAATTATATATGGTATATTTTTAAAAAATATACAAATTCATGCAAACAACTCGGTTTGAAACATACATATGTATGTCAATAATTATATATATTTTATATTATATTTCGCTTTGGTTTTATTTCACTTTTTTTCAATCTTAAAATCAATCTACAACTACCTACATACTATTTTAAAAGCTAAAATTTCATACATTCACAAATGAATAATTTTGTAATGGAATATACAGGTTTTTAACTAAATTTATTTCTAGCTTCGTCGAAGTACATATATTCTTCTTATTTGTGAGAATATATTATTTTCATTTAATTACATATTTGTTTTTGTTTTTGTTTGCAACTACTCAAAATACTCTCTAACGCTTTTGCATTCATAACAATTCACTTGCTTTCTAATATTTCAAATTGTGTTCGTACGTACTGTAGCTTACAAAAATACAAAACATATTACTATCAACTTACTTCCCTAACGTAACAAAATGCAATATGAAATCTTGTCGCCTAGGAGACTTTTATGCTATGTACCTCTCTACACCACTATAAACGCAATAGTATTTACTCGCATTTAATATGCAATATATTTTTTTCTTTTGTACTTACGCAATTATGCTTACATAGATATTTTAAATATATGCTTTATACAGTACATTTAAATATTACAGTTATTATATGAATTTTAGGTTATGCCTTATTTTTCTACCAGTTAGTAGTAGACGTAGTAACTATCAACAACTAGGAGACTTTGGCTTTATATTTTGTACACTATTTTACTTTTATTTATTTCGTTGAGCAAATTGTCGATTGATTAAACATTTTATAGCTCGAACGAATTAGTAGAAGTAGATATTCGAGCTACACAATAATTGGGGCTTACTCAAAGAGCTTACTCAAACCGGGCTTGGGCTCATTAGTCCGGCTTGTTCAGGCAGTCTGAGCACACTTTTGAATATTGTGAATCTTTTAGACAATAAAAAAAATATTTCGATTCAACAAAAAATGTTTTAAAAGCAAATGATAAAAAATTAGCAAATCTGAAACTAATAAATTTAAGTTAATAATAAAATTTGAAATAAAAGTCTCGCAGTCTTATTCTGTTTTAAATTGTAGTATTCTATTTTCTGCACTTATTTATATGGCTTGCCTTAAAAACACTGTCTTCATATTGTAACGATGTCCAACCAGCTTTATTTTAAAATCTGGAGGGCTCTTGATCGTCGGGTAAATTACTGAGACCGGCAGTATTCCCATATTTGCTTTCGAGTAAAATGTCTTCAAGTACGATATGCCTTTGCCACCAGTTTGTTTGAGCTCTAGCAATTTATTTTTTCTGTGTAAGGGTTTGAACTAAAATTTTATCAAAATCGAATAACCAAAGCTTATCTTAAAATAATTTTTTCAAAGCATGATAAGCCTTTGTTGTCGTCAAATCTCTATTTGTCTTGTAACGCCTGGATTTATTCGTAAGATAAAGAGGTCAGCGAACTTTAAATTGTTTTTGCTTGATAATAGGGAATAGCTTTATAAGCTTACAGTAGGTAAGGCCCGACTTTTTAATTTTAGAAAAAATCACGGTTGACTCTTGAACCCATGGATCATAAAGTGTTAGTAACGTAGTGGATTTTTTTAGCCTTCAGTTTGCCGCGAAGTTTATAATACCACGACGAAAACATTGGAGGCCCTTTAAAATATATGTTGGTATATAAATGATCAGCAGCATAAGCAGAGTCGTTTTAGTCATGTCCGTCTGCCTGTCCGCCTGCCTGCCCGTTTGTCTGTATATACGCGAACTAGTCTCTCTTTAATATAATTTTGCGTACGTCCTTTACAAAAAGCTACTCAATTGTCGGAACTGCCGATATCGGACCATTATATTGGTATATATGTAGTTGCCTTACAAACTGAACGCTCAAATACATTCGTTTTTAAATTTGGCGAGATATTTTCAACTCAATTTGGTATTGAGTTTTGTCAAAAAAAAAAGGTTTAATATCCGAAGAAATTGTTCAGATCGAACCACTATAGACGCCAAATGCCATACGAGCTGACCGGTTAAAATCAAGTTCTTGTATGAATTCTTTGGTATTTGTGACAGGTATTATAGCTTCGGTGCTATTTTGACTCAAGTCTGATACACTTTTGAGCGCTCACGCCAAACCTACATATGACTTTTACCAGTCTATATTACATCTTATTTGATAAAATAATGTTTTCTTAGAAGTGATTCAAAAGCATTTGGCTAACATTTTTAAAATTATGCCAGATTAATAGAATTGACTGCAGGCTTAAGCCAATCTATTCGCCATTATTTGGCGATTGTGAATCAAACTCACAACTGATATAAAGGAAATAAGTTGACTGGTATAAACAAGTGGAGATACTATAGAAAAACGTTATACTTCTTGCTGAGCTATTTTAATGAGTTTCACAGGATAACCATATTGCTCCTTTCACATGTAAACTTTTCACAAGCAAGAATATCTAAAACAAATGTGGCGAATCGAAGATGATTTTTGTAACATATAGCCAAATGTGAAATAATTTTAGTATTTATACAACATGTATTTATAACGCAATTATAAAATTTTAATTGAATCTTCATTAAATCTATAATTATTTCTTAAACATTTTTTAGTTTGTTTATCAATCGAGAATTTTGCTCTCAAATTGGAATTTCTGTTTTAATTTTTTTTCGTTTTTGCTACAAAGCATACATTTTATCACTACACTTGTTCTTCAGCTAAGCTGTTAGCACAAGTAATTTAAGCATTATGTATTTTTATTAATTTTTTTTTTTTTAAATATATGAATAAAATGTTTAAGAAACCGATAATTGGAGCATGCATTCGTTGGTTGCTCGTTGGGGGACGTTGGGAGGGCCTTGCCGCTGTTGTACACACTTATAGCGCTTATATATACTAAGTAATTAAATCTGTAGCTTATGCTATGTACAAGCACAAATAATTATATAACTATACATATATTTGTATTGTATATATCTGCAATAGTTTTTTAGTTGCTCCTTATTCAAATAAAAACGTCTGCCTGCCTACAGACGCAGACGCAGACGCAGACTCTCACATGCAAATGTAATAAATAAATCAGTTCCGCTTGGCTGCTTTGCAGCGCATATGACACATACTCAATCGCATAAACATATACATACATACAAGTCCATACATATAAGGAGATGTGTGCGTGCAAGTAAATTTCTCGGCATATGCCAGCCCCAATCCACCTGTACATTACTAAGCCTGACATCAAAAGCATTTCAAGCGCACACACATGTCTGCATACGTGTATACCAAAATTATATATATATATATATATATGTATGCGTATGTATGTGTGCAGATTCCTTCAATCAATTTGTTGCGATAATAACGACCTCGGGTTTATTGCAGCTGCAGCAGTAGCTCAAGACCATCACCCGCAACATTACCAACAACATCGCCACCACCACTTGTGGCATGCCACAGCCATAAATGTGCCTGCATGCTGTTGCAGCTGCACGTTTTTCGGTTTGCCTTCATTTGCCTGCTGCCGTGTGCCATTTCTTCATTGCTGGCTTATAACATTTCCACATTGGAAGTACCGTTGCAGTTGGTTGTGCGCGTCGTCTTGGTGATCTGCTGGTTGTTGATTATCGGCGGCGGAGTGCCACACCAAACCACCTGTGCATGCAAATTCGTTAGTTGTGGGTAGAAAGCAAGGCATGAAAGAGAGGGAAGAGAGAGAGAGAGAGTAAAAAAAGCCGTTATATTAGATGTGAAATTTGCATCAAATTGCATTTCCCTGTACGTAATTTTTTTATATTTTTTTTTCTCGTTTTTTATGTTTTTGTTTTTCTTTCCTCGTTACTGGCACTCACTCACCTTCCGGAATGCTTTGCGAAAATTGTCCGACAGGAAAGCATATAGTATTGGATTAATGCAGGAGTTCGTGTATGCCAGTACGTGTGAGATGATTTGAATAATAACCGTTAGATGCGTGGATGCATACATATCCAATGCCTTCAGAACGAGTATAACCTGTAAATGAAGGAATATAGAAAGATATACTATCAGTATCATATGTATGAATTGGTGTGTGTGTAGTTGGTGGAGAGGATCTACTGAAAATGTGATATACATAAAACGGAAATATGAGGCCACATGTCAGTTGTGTCGGTTTCAGTGTGACATACAGATTCGATTAGCTTTTGAGCAGGTAATTCATATGTCCCACAAGAGCTACTTTTGCATATCAAGTCAAGATAATCGAGAAAGTGCTTCTAGAACAATCACAGATGGCGTGAGAAGAACATGAAAATGGAAATATCATAAATTAGCTGGCTGAAAAAATCGTTTTCTAGAGGTCAGCAAAGTAGGCCTCCTTGTGTCGAAAACAACTCACTTTGACTAAAATTTATACTTGAGAATTAAGAAATCGCAACCATCGTTAGCTTCCTCATGCCCAATATTTCTTTGAGGACATTTTTGACTGTCATCCTAGAAGGAGAAAAGTTACCGTATACATATCTCAGCGCTCTTTGATTATGCTGCGGGATTTTTTTTAGTTCAAAAAACAGTTATCGAATCACCTACGGAAATAGTTGTTTTACCGACACGCCCGCTTCCACACAATGTTAAAACAAAACTGAAACTTTGATACTAGCTGCTTACAATAAAACATTTTTCTTACGATAGTGGCGCCGTCGGGCGGTCAGACTAAATCCTTATTGGACTACCCTCGTATCATAACGGGGTGTGATTTAAGAGAATGAAGTTTGTCTAATATTTTTCTAGCTCCTATATATTCAGTATAAAATTTCCTATAAATACACAGTTCGCCTAAAAATGAGCCATGAGTTATGTGAGTCCATCTTTGGACATTCCATCAAGCGCCCTTCTTGTATACCACTATCATATATTCATATTGCCATTCAAAATATTTATTATACTCAAATACATTTTTTTAAGTCGATTAGCCAAGAACATCCAAAAACTTTTCCAATTTAAAAGCTTATTCAGCTTACAAGACGAGCGCTCGAGCGTTAAGGCAGCTGTCTGCTGTCAGTAGCCGACAACAATCTGTAAACTGAGCTGTGGTTGTTGACAGGCTGCTTTGCATTGCCTTCATCTGAGCGCTTGCCAGAAGAGTCACTGAGGCGTTGAGTTCATTTTACTTGCGGCGTGCGCTTCGAATGCAAGCATCTGAAGCTCGTCAGCTCATTTTCTTACTTGCACTTTCACAGTTCTGATTTTGCCGACGCCATTTGCTGTGAAATTTTGTTCAACGCCTTAGGTTATGCAAAAGTTTTTTTGAAAAACTTCTGCTTTTTCGCTATATCCTTTTTTTATGTCCTTCCATACGAGCGGCACATGCATGATGCTTTGAGTGACAATTAAAGTATTTTATTATATATTTCGAGATTTTCAACTATGTTGTCGGTATAAAGTAGTAGAAAATAGTTATTAGAACCACATAACATGCATCTGCTCGGCTGTTTAGCAAAATGGTTATGAATTTAAAATTTTGATTTCAATTTAAAAGCTTTTACTTGCTATTAAAAGTGAAACTCATGTCCATTTACGTGCATATGATATTAAAGTATATATGCGTATAAGTGTTCATTTAAGTGGCTAGGCATTGAAAATTGCAACAACAAGTGGCAGCTCAACGAATTTCATTGTATTCCTGTACACTATATACTTCTATTGAAATCTGCGTTAAGTGCTTTTTATTCTGTGAATGCAATACAATTTTTTCTTATTTGGAGAAAAAATTGTTAGCACTTTCTATAACACTGAATTATTGAAGGCCTCCAATATATATCATATATAAATTTGTTTCCGTAAAACCCAGTTTATGCGAGTCATTAAAGAACAGAGCGGAAAATGCTTCCTTGCTAGCCGCTAATGCAGTGTATGTACATAGGGATGGTCTTATTCTAAACCCATGCATTACTTGTTTGTAACTTTGCTCCATATATACCTTAAATATTACCAATTATTTTAATAAATTAAGAACCCTACGTCAGCAATATCGAAAAAACGATTCACATTTTCTTTTAAGAATATGTTTGAGTGGTACAAAGCATTCAGTGAAGGTCTTGAAGTAATCGAATACTTGCCTCGCACGTGTCGTTGTTCGTCGCGTTAGAGTGACAGCAAAGGATCTTAACATATCTTATGAATCGACTCAACATATTTTGGTTAATGTTTTGGGTATGTATCATGTCAAGCTTAGACTCGTATCAAAAGACCTGACTCTTTTGCAAAAACGACGTCTGTAAGTGGTAGCAAAAGAGCTGATTGCCAAGGTAGCTGTGGAGCCTACATTCGTATATAAATAACGTTTTACAGTATTTTTAAGTATTAGAGCGGTTCAAATTCTTCGTTACATTCGTGGAACCCACTTTTACGATACAATTTCTTTAACTAATTCTCCATATAACAAGTATTTCCGTTGTGTGGAAAGCCAAATGCACACCCGCCCGACTGATAGTCTTCGCACCACTAATGTCAATAGTAGCAAATTGCAAATGAAATTACACAGAATTAAAGTACAAATTCGATGCCATTTATTATGCATTGCCTTGCTGCCTACACAATTACCGTGACCACCTACCGCGCCCATGCCCGCACAACAGCAACACTTGCATTTGCATGGACATACCAAGAGTAGGTGTTCATTTATTGAACTCACCTACACAAGTGCGAACAGAGATGCTAATGGATAGGTACTTATGCTACATATAGTACTTGGTTCAACATCGGGCACGCTTGCACTTGCATAGATAGCTCCCATTTGTTGTGCCATGGCATACAACACATCTGTTTGCTAAGCTCACTTGTCGAACATATGGGTGTCCATTAAAACAAATTAGTGAATGCGACTGAAGGAATGCATCGTTCTGTATACACCTACTTTTTAAATACCATACTATTTTCAGCAAATTAATTGCTTAGTGCAAAGTGACTACGTGACAAAATGCGTTGAAAGACTTTGTGCTTTTTTTGGGTGTATGTACATTAGGGTGGTCCTAACAAAATTCTAAATGGAAGAGTTTTTGTGATATACTCAAAACTGTTGTCCCTAAGACTGAGGGACTAGCTTGCGATTAGAAGGACATGGCTAAATCTATTCAACTTTTCACGCTGTTCATTTATATATAAACTTTATAGGGTCTCCGACGTTTTAGGGCCTAAAAAAGTTTTTTGGAGTTCCCTTAGGTGAAGGAATGTTGTGATAAGTTTTCACCTACCTTTAAGTACCACCTTAATATCTCATACATTTACATACTTGTATGTATGGGCGAAATGCAATCAATATGCCATCATGTGCATGAAGAATCAGGCAAATTGCAAAAACATTGCAGGCAAATTGCAACAGCTGACAGTGGTCACGACTTGCTAAATGCAAAGAAAAGCTGAGAAAAGAAAAGTGAAGTAAGGCAATATCAAAAAAAAAAAATGGTTGTAGTGGCAAATGGAGCATACTGGAGTATTGCACTTGGCAAATCAATCTAATTGAAGGTGAAATTGCCATTTTTGTACGCACGAATGTTCTATGTCACTGCGCAGTTATGCACGCGAATAAGCATATTCGCCGGCTGATGAGTCAGCGCACAGTCTGAATGCAATTCTGAACCTTCCATTTCTCACGTACTCACCAATAGAATGAAAGAGCATGAATGCTGCGTCTTGTGCTGTCGACCTTTTTTCGAATTTGTAACCATGGTATGCGCTCAATTTTCTTCCATCCTCTGCTTTTACTTTACTACGTCTATTTTTGATCGGCTACTAATGATTCAGTGTTGCGCGTTTCTTTTGATGGATTCGCATTAAATCGAAATAATCATTCAAAGCTGACCGTCGCATTTTTTCATTTTCTCTCTACTTCTTCCTACCAAAGCATTTTTGGTTATCAAAAGCGACTTCTGTTTGAAACGTTTGACTGAATTCGACCGGCTTGATCCACAAAATATAACTGTTAAATATTTTTTTTTTCTGAGCCATTTAGTCCAGTCCAGAAAGTTTCCGGAAATTGTCATTTAAACTGTTCGCGGTAAATATTTTTCAGCATTTTTTTTATTAAATTGATAGCACTGTCTTAATTACAATGCCAAAAATGAGCGTGAGCTGTCAACCAGTCTGCTTGCAACAGCTATTGAAATCAGTCGACCTGAGTAGTGTTTTGCGATTTTTAAAATGGAAAATAATATTGAACAAAGAATTTTCATCAAATTTTGTCTTTCGAATAAAATTTTTTGTGCGAAATCGTTGTGAATGTTAGAAAAGGCTTTTGGTGAATCAATTCTATCGAAAACCCAAGTTTCCGACTGGTACAAAGCCTTTAAGGATGGTCGAGAAACCGTTGAAGACATGCCTCGTTCCGGTCGTCCTTCGACGTCTACCACTGACGAAAAAAGTGAAGGAAATCGTGCCCGTAAATCGTCATGCGAGTCTTAGAGAGATAGCACGTAAGCTGAACACGGGCATGAAGCAGCTCGTTTGATGTTGACCAATAATTTGGGCATAAGATGCGGCTTGTTTCAAAAGAGCTGAATTTTTTGCAAAAAGAAATGATTTTCCCATATCTTTATACAAATCTTTATTATCGCTTTTGAAATTGGCCCCGAGACAAGCATGCTAATGTTTAATCCATTTTTCCATACATTTTCCCGAAGCGGATTTTTAAGTTTTAAAAACTGAAAAAGTCACAGGTAGCCAAATATGGCGAATGCGGTGGCTGAGCGAAGACTCTCGTTTCGTGATTGGCCAAAAAGTCAGTCATAATCATGCAAGAATATGACAGCGCATTATCGTGGTGAAAACTCCATTAATTTCCTGTCCATAAATCCGGTCATTCAACAATGTATTCTTCTAAGAAATTGTTGAAATCAGATCACTATATCATAAAGCTGCCGTACAAATTGAACGATCGGAATAAAGTTCTTGTAAGGAACCTTTGTATTTGTGAAACATAATATAGCTTCGGTGCAACCGAAGTAACCGTTTTTTCTTGTTTATCTTGCCGATTGTTA